CGGTCTCGTGGCCGCTGGGGGCTGGGTCGACGAGTGCAACTAGCTCTGTGGATGGGTTGGAGATCACTGATTGTGCATGGCGGGGACCGATCAGTCCTGCACCGACGATAGCCACTTTGAGAGGCATGGTTGGGGGTGATGTGTGTGTGTGTGTATGCAGTGTTACGGAGTGTAGCCAGAGTGACCAGTCGGGGATGTCAATCCGGGGTAAATAAGTTGGAAGAAAGGAAGCCATGATTTCTTCCGACTCTCACCAAGAGTCTTGGCACGCCAGCGAAAGCATATTGCCGGGATTAATCCCTCGGCCGTTCAAATGGGGAAGTTCTGCGAGAGCGTTGAGCCTCCGAACCGGGGAGGAGTGCGAGGGAGAAGGACAAGCGGCAAAACGGAAACCCGCCCAAAACGCTTACCCCGACACGTGATCCGCCTCATACTATGTGTTGCAGAAACCGGATGTCCGTGTGAAAAGGTTCAAGCACAGCATTCATAATGCCAGAATCTGGGATAATAGTTTTAGTCGTCTGCTTATCGTCCCTTCTTATTATCCAGGGCTGCCTTAATAGAGACATACCCACCCTTCCTCAGAACCATTAGACTTTTTTCCTTTTCTTTGTCTTGCATCATTACTTGTGCCTCCCTCTCCCTCTGGTGATACAGCCTTTCCCATACCACCAGCCAGTCATTTAGGACAAGTATCTATTCAAAGCATATATTCACCTTCACCTCACCCTACATTTCATCCATCTACGGCACAAAATCCTCATACCTCATACACGCCAACCCCCCAAAATGGCCACCAACCGCCCCGGCATCGCCTCCATGTCCCTCGGCAGACCATGGATACACGACCTCCCAGGCAAGCTAATGCAAGCAGCCGCACACGGATTCCAAGGGATCGAGCTCTTCTTCGATGACCTAGACTGCTACGCCGTACGAACATTCAGCGGCGACCACCTCGAAGCCGCGCGGCGAGTGCGCCTGATGTGCGAGCGACTAGGACTAAGTATTATCTGCCTGCAGCCATTCTCCTTCTACGAGGGCCTGCTCGACCGTGCACAGTCTGACCGGCTCGTTACGGATAAATTGCCGAAATGGTTCCGGATCGCGCGCGCGCTGGGCACAGATCTTATCCAGGTTCCGTCGAATTTCCTCGGTCCAGACCCGAAGACAGGGTTGCCGCGTACCACGGGCGATCGAGGTGTTATTGTGAGGGACTTGCAGCGTCTGGCGGATCTGGGTGCTGGCGCGGGCTTTCGGTTTGTCTATGAGGCTCTGTGCTTCGGTGACCATGTCGACACATGGGAGGCATCGTGGGAGATCGTGCGGGATGTCGACAGACACAACTTCGGTTTGTGTCTCGACTCATTTAACCTCGCAGGCCGTGTCTACGCCGACCCGGCATCGCCTTCCGGCCGCACGCCCAACGCCGCGACAGACCTAGCCGCCTCACTGGCCCGTTTGAAGACAGCGAACATCGACCCAGCGAAGATCTTCTACGTCCAGCTCGTGGACGGCGAACGCCTCTCCGACCCGCTGGACGAGACGCACCCATTCCATGTCCCGGGCCAGCCGGCGCGCATGTCCTGGTCTCGCAACGCGCGTCTCTTCCCCTTCGAGGAGTCCCGCGGCGGCTACCTCCCCATCCTGGACGTCGCCCGCGTCTTCTTTGAGGACCTGGGTTTCCGTGGCTGGGTGTCGCTGGAGCTGTTTAATCGCTCTCTCGCTGACCCGGACCCGTTCGTCCCTGCTGACCATGCTCGGCGTGGCATGGAATCTTATCTGAAGATGGCTCGCGTATTGAACTGGGAGGATCCTCTCCCGCAGCAGGATGGAGCGCCTGCTTGGGAGGCTTCGTCGCTTGTGCAGCACCGTCTGTGAAACGCGTGCTGTGTTTGTTTGGTATATATTTGCATCATATATTTGCATCAGTACATATGTTTATGCTTAATGATCCCTCTTTCCCGAGTGGCCTTTTTGTTCGAGACTGGAAAGAACCGACGGGTTTGGGTTGGACATAAATTACATTGTTAAGCGTCTCGATATATATTTCTGTGCGTGGCAGAGACGCCTCTAACCAGTCGTCAGAATGCAGGCAATTAACACCAAAACCTACCATTCTTCAGGCCTGATTTATTGTTTAATACAAATCAAATAAATTAGAGCTATCGTCCGGCAAGCTGGCTACTCGCTATGGATAAAGCAAAGCCCATAACAATATGAAAATCCATAATCATGATACCAGTTTTCCAATCCTGAAACACCCAGCTATGATGGTCGTTGAAGACATACAAGACCATAATGGCGTCGCAATGCGATAGCGTAAATAAAATCATCATCCAGCGTCCCTCATGCATCGCTCATGCACCTCGTCCCCTCCATGCACGTGGGCACCAGGCGATGGTTTCGTTCGCTCTTGGCTGACATCACCCACCGCAAGGAGAACAGCAAATCTGCCGTGCGGGTTCGATGGAGGGGAATATTGTTGAATAGGCCCCACCAACTAAAAAAATAATAGAAAGAGGCGATTCTCCAACAGGGAGACTCTATGCCTCTTGAGCCCAGCGCTTTTCACGCAGCGGCATCTCCTCACCGGCTTTCTGGCGGCTTCCGTCGATCTCCCGCTTCCAGGCGTAGTATTCACCGAGACGGGACTCGGCGTAGCTGGCGTAGTCGAAGTCAATCTGTGAGATCTGGGCTTGGATAAATGCCCAGACGCCCCTGAGCGGGTCGTTAGTATGATGACGAATTGATTGCTTGCGCTAGACTCACCAGTAAAAGCCGGGGATGCCACGGAAACGATCGACATCTTCATACAGCCGTTCCAGGATCTCAGGCTCAGATGATGCGCCGAGGCCGCGGTGCTGGCAGTAGCTCTTGGTATACTCGGTCAAAAATTCACGGCGCACCGATTTCGTGGGGATCATGTTGTAGTCGCAGTCGTAGCCAATCCATTCGGCTAGGTGGTTGGCGATATCAAAAGCAGCCGGCGCTGGAACGGCATACTCATAGTCGATAAAGTTGACCGGAGTCTTAGCATCGTCTGCTGGTGGGGAGCTGCTGTCGCTCGGGAGGACAATCACATTGGCGCAGAGCAGGTCGCAGTGAGAGAATACCATCTAGAAGAGGAGACACATAAGCCATGTGTGAGCGGGGGCTGGGATTGAACAGGAAATGACTTACGCCGTCTTCACCGATTCCCTTTCCGTCATCCAGTCGACTGACCACGAACTGCAATTCCTTCTGCAGGTTGACCCGGCGGTCGCGCTGCTCCGGCGTATCCACCGGCAAAGCAAGAATCCATTTCTGGAGGACACGCCACATGGAGGGACCAGCGCGTCGGAGTTGGACCAGCGGCAAGCCACCAGCCTGCTTATCTGTGGCTTCCTGTGCGACAGCAGAGGTGCCGGTGGACGCAGTTGGATCGCTGGGCAGCACGGCATGCCACTCGGCCAGCTTCTGAGCCACACCGCGGAAGATGCTTGGCTTAACCAGATCCTCGTGGCCGCAGGGCGTGCCGCGAATGAACCGGTAGAGCAGGCCGTTGTTGAATCGTGCGAGCAGAGGCGGCGCGAGGCCGCGACTGGCCAACAGAGCGTGGGATTTGGTTTCTCCTATAAGGCAACAGAAAGGTTCTACTTCAGCATGGGTCGCATTGGGTGGGAAAAGGGAGGGAAGTGGCGCAAAGGGCAAAAGGGCATCCCGGAGAGGGGAGCGGGGAGGGGGTAATCCGGGTATCTCGTACTTTCGCGGTCTATGAGGATCTCTGTGCCATTTCCGTACGCCCTCATCAGTACAGCCTCATTGTCTATCTGTTCCTGGGTCAAGCCAGGTTTGCGGTTGATGATTTTGAGGAGCTGCGAGCCTCGTTAGCCAAGGGAAAGCCACACGCTGCGACGAATAGAAAGACCGACAGTGTTCGTGATGCCGTCTGTGAACCGCACAAAGTCAATGTGGTTATCGGGGCCCTCCCAGTGTGGGTTGATGGTGAGGATTAAGCGGAGGGCGGATGCATGGGAGTCTGCGTGGTGGTAGGAGAGCGGTATGAAGCGGAGGGAGGACGCGACGCCGGTTTGATTCTCAGAGGAGCCCATGGTCGCGTCGTAAACCCAAAGAGTAGGGAAGGGAGGGGTGTTGATTTTTTGATTAGGAGGCCAGTCAGTTTATTGGGGAAGGTCGTTGTTCTGGAGTCAAGTGGGGGGAAAGTGGACGATCAGGCTGGAGAGATGTGCGGGAGCGGTTAAAGAGGAGAGAGAGTTGACCGGGGAGAGGAAGGAAAAGAAAGAAGTTGGCAGGGGAAAGAGTGTTTTGGTCTCGTGCTCTCGACCCACGATTGGAAGAGCCCATGGGTGGCACCGCCAGGGGATAAATCTTCGTTATGGTCCAGGCTGAACTACCGTGCCGGACCCGGTTCTTTCCCCTCGAATCACAGGTCTTTGTCTCCCATACCATCCTACATCATCATCCAATAATAACCATACAGTACAAAATACTTCCGAGCGTCCTGTCGAGTCGTGCCTGAGGACACTTTTCCTGGCGGGGCAAATCACATGAACCGAGATCAGCTGACCTTCGAGCCCCGAGCCCTAAGCCACCCGGAACAATATATTCTCCGGTGCCCTAGCGTCGGCCCGTTTAAATTCGGCGCCGCGCCAACTTTTTCTTCTCTTTTCTTTTCTTTCTTTCTTCATCATCAGTAGAGGTTTACTACATGTAAATCAATCGGGGCTCCGCTATGCGGCTTGCTGAGGGTTATCCTTGTGGTTTTTCTCCCTATGGGTTTTCTTCCGTTCCCGGCTCCGGAGAACAACGTGCGTCTCCCTTTTTCCCATCCTATTATGGCTGGGCTAGGGTTCCCTTGAGGAGCTCCATGCGCTTTAGCTGTGGAGGGGTCGCTATATACCTTTTTTTTCTCATTATCTATGTTTATCTTATCTTCCAATCGCACTGGTTTCAGTATACTTTATTTGATTTCGTCCAGTAACTGCTTTGGTATCTATCTCTCATGCCCGCCCGGCGTTCCCAATCTGAATGCGCTCCCCCGACCATTTGTCGTCGCTGCGCAGAACAGGCCAGCTGGTGCCGTCGGCCTTGGCCAGTATCAACTCCAGCTTCGTGCCCATTACCTTGAACGTGGATTTCTCCGGGTCAATGGGCGCAAACAGCGGGTAGGTGTTCCTATATCGCTTGTTGTCCGAGGTGGGCAGATCCAGCTCAATCGAGTTCGTTGAAAAGCTCACTTTGGCACCATCCTTGTCGATTTTCTTGAGATAAAGGGAGACGTTCACGGAATGCGGGGTCTGGTAGAAATCGTTCCTGCAAGTCCGGTGTAGACAGTCAGCTTGTGTTTTCTTTATGTATTGGATTGCATTCATCCCAACGTACCGCACCGACTCGACCTTTTCCTCGCCAGGAGGCTTGCCCTTGCCAACAAACGAATGTCTCGTCTTCTCTGTGCAACCCGGAATCTTTAAAAACTCGTCAAACTCGAGCACCCGGCGCTTGCAGCACGACCACCCTTTGCTGCCCTCATGGAAGACCGGCTGGCCCGGATGATGCACGCATTTCTCCTCATCCCGCGGCTTCGACGCATCATATTTCGCACCGCAGGCCTTGCGACGGCACGTCGCGTTCGCGGGGATCTCCGCTAACGGGTCATCCGAGTCAGGCTCTGGCGGCGGGGGCGTTTTGGGCTTCGTCGGCGGCGCAATGGCGGGGGAGATAGCTCTGCGCTCCGATTGCGCAGTCGGGATGGGTGCTGGTGGCGGGGCGAGAGGAAGGTCCTCTGTCTTCTCGGGCTCGGGCGCAGGGGTGTCGTCGACGGTCGAATGCTTGCCGGTGGTGCATGGTGGGATGCTCAGGAACTCTTCAAAGGTCAAGAAGCGAGGCTTGCAGCATTTCCAGCCTGAGGGGATCAGTAACGAGTTGTAGATGAGAGTAAGGCCTTGTCCCCCTCACCTTTTTGCCCTTCGTGGAACACTGGGGGCCCCGGATGGTACACGCACGGCTCTTCCGGGTCGGAGAAGGTCTTCCCGCAGCCCTTGTGGACGCATTTGCCTGCCATGATGTGTGACGGTCGGTCCCAGACAGTAAGTATATAGGGGAGGAGGGGAAGTATGTAGTGACGAAGTGGCGTGAAGTAGACGAGGGCCGATGCTTTCCCAACGCGGTTTAGTGGCTAGAAGCTCGAAGGTTCCATCGCGAACGGAGAAAGTAGGTGGCTCTGACCGCTTTACTGGCACAGACGTTCCCACCTCACCATGTTGCCCACGCGCGTCCTCTTTCATGCCCGCCTCACCCTGTTTACTCGCGCGGGCTGTGGCCTGTGCGACACGGCCAAACATAATGTCATGCAGCTGCAGAAACGCCGGCCGTTCGAATATGCCGAGAAGGACATCATGGACGTCGCCAACCGATCCTGGAAGGACGTCTACGAATTCGACGTGCCCGTTCTCCATGTCCAGTCGGTGACGAATGGCCAGCCTGCCCAGGCCGACCTCTCCGACGCGAGGAAGCTTTTCCACCGCTTTACAGAGCAAGAGGTTGAACAACAAGTGGACGAGGCGGAAAAGGAAGTCGCATGAGAGTTGGATACGCTGTCATGGATTCAGCCATTGAGCCTGTATGTCTGCATTAAATGCGCCAGAGCGATCTCCCCGGGACCTACACTCAGTTCATTATCCTGGACTCTGCTGTACACCATGTGGAAAGCCTTGGACAACCGATGTCTACGCTGTGGGACCAAGAGATCATGCCCGTCATTTCGGAGGTTAACAGGGGGCACAAAACCTTGAAGTGCTCCTTACTATGCTCCTGAGGGAGAGTCTAGTGATAAGTCCGACTGGCATTCTCTGATTCAAGGTTGATTTAGAAGATCATGTCTTCGAATCGAATATTGATATAGTACGACTGATAACTCTCGACAATCAAAGCAATCTGTCGCTTCATCTGAGCCAGCGTCAACACTCGTCCTACATACAGAATAACACATCGAGATGACGGATTCCAATATCAGCATCAACCCAGCCCGTTACTGCGTTCATCTCCATAGACTAAGTAAACTGCACACCAAGATCAATATAGTAAAATCCAGCCACGGACCCAGCTGGCGCAGTAAATGTCGAAATAGCCTCTTCATTCACAATCTGCTGCCCATCAGGCGAAGTGACTCTGATCCCAATCGGCAAAGCAAACGGGCCGTCTCCCTGGGGCAGGACCCAAGCACCGTATCGCTCCTGTGGGCGGCTGCTCGTGTAGTTCGGGTCGTGCTCGAGCGCGGTCCAGGTGCTGGAACCGGCACCTTTGACCTCGACCGAAATGACCGAGCCAACGCCGTTCGTATTGACCACGCTTAGGGCAAAGTAATACGCCCCACCACCGTCACGCAGCCAGATGTATGCATTTCCAGGCTTGGGACACGGTACCCGCTTATAACGGGTAGGGATAACTCCCTCCGTGAGGCTTCCGTTACCTTGTAAGCGGCCCATTGCAATGTCAGATAGGTCCATGTGGTGGCTACCCGCTGGAAGGGGGCAGCCGTATTTGAAGTCAATCTCGCCGCAATGGTCCGCGCCAGGACCGCCTGTGAAATAGTGTAAGCATATACTTCCTTACGTGTAGTCTATGACTGATAAGAGATGACGACGTACAGCACCACTTGGAGTTCGCATCACATGGACAACTATCCACAATCTCCAGGTAGATCGGGTCTGTGTATCCGTCCTCGCCCACAGCGTAGTCGGTCCCATCCGCCTTGGTGCGGATGAGCTCAAAGCATTCGCCGCACGAAAGGTAGTTGTCTTGATCACCTGGCATTGCTGCACTTAACGAGGGCCAAAACTGAAGATAGGTTAGCCATTACCTCATCTTATATGAGATTGGGATAGTCCAAACTATCCTCCTGCCTCCGACATACCTGAGTATAGTAGTCCCCGTTTGGCGCCGCAAAGTTCCCGCGCAGGGTGACATTTGAGGGATCTTTACAGAGAAGGGGGTATGCAGTGCAAAACGCATCACAGGTTGTGCCGAGCATAGGATCAGTCCAGTCCGCCGTGACGCTACCTTTTGTGCAAAGGCCATAGAGGCCAAATCCACATGCTCCTCCGCTAGTAAGGCCAAAGTGAGTTGATCGCTGTGCATGCAAATGTTAGGAAAGGCAGAAACCAATAGTTGCAAGCCACACTCACACTATAGTGCCAGTCTTCGTCTGATCCGACCGTGAGTTGCTCTCCCCCTGTTTGTACCGTAAGTCAACCTGAATATAACCGTATCATTTGTGGAAATCGATATATTCTTACACATGGTGCCCGACATGCACATTGAAGAGGGTGGAGTACCACAGCCTCCAGTGCAGGAACTTGTGCATGATTCGGACTCATTGTTAGACAGGCAATAAGACGGACAGCAGACGTTGTCGACTAGTTCCCAAGCTCCACACGAGCTGGCGTTGGCTGAAGGATATGCCGGTTGAGTAGCCGTCAGGGTGGGAATGACAGTGCTCGTTGTATATTCAGAAGTGGTAGTGATTGAGCTACCGCCGGAGGTACCAGTGCCTGAGGTTGTAGAGCTAGAACTAGAGGTCGAAACCTGGTGTTGCTAGTTAGCAAAGGATAAGACGTTAATGCATTCAAAGAAACCGACCGCAGTATCAGGGACACACTGATAATAATAAGGATTCACGGTAGAACACGCGGCACCACTGACACAGCAGGACGGGCCACTGTAACTGCTTCCACCACATTGATCCCTATCAATAGTTTAATTGTATAGTACTGTGAAGTCATGCAATACATGAGACATACCATGTAGGGGCACAGGCCGACTGCCCCGCTACTTTGCCATACAAAGTAAATATAAAAGCGATGAAAAGGACAACTAAATCCATGGTTCTGTTTGCGTGAAGCAATGTTTGGAAATTGGTCTATCCTAAAGCTCGAGTCAAATTTCAAGGATGAAGATCTTCTCTCTTATACTACGTCGGACCTAGGATCCGCATCCAAAGTGGGACCAGATCGGCCGTGTCAGAAGAGGCAGGATCAGGATCAGGAGGCACATGGACGTGTGTGCAAAGTAACCACAGGATTGGTTGACCGGGGGTTTAAACCCTGCATCTACAGTCTGGGGGTGAGGCGGGCCGTTTTGCCTAAATGCAGGGGGAAATCATGCAGGAAATGCAGGGTTGTTATGGGGTATTCTCCTGAATATTTGCAGAGCTGATGGTGGCGCCATGACACGGACCCTAACTCACCCTACAAATCTGTACAGAGTTACTTACAGTATGTATTTGCTTGTGTTAGCCCGAAACCAAGAAATTTTGAGATGTTTGGAGTTAAGAAAGTAGATGGATTAAATCAACGCTTTCCAGTATCGCACTTTGGCAAATAATCGGAGTTAGCCCAGTATAAAAAACATTTTGCTCATTGGTATCCAGTCTCGGAAAGCAGTATCTGGATAGTGACATTAAAGGATCGAGGCAATAATTTAGTGCCGTTGATGCTCATGAGCTTCAGAAAGGTTATGCTCAAGCGAGGGGCGACAGGCTTGTTCTTCCTCGGTCCTTCGCTGTACTGGAGGTGGACTCGCGACTTCGCTCAGGCCTTCATAGAGATCATGATTCTCTTGTGGTTGGTTGTCGCCTGATGATTTGGCTTCTTTGGCCGATTTTGGTCCTCGGTTCTGTTGTTTGAAACACCCGCAAGTCAAGATGTTTAAGAGGCCAGAAAGTGCCATGACTGCACTTATGAAGGCCAGTCATAAAACCTATAACCTTGTGTATTGGAAGTATCGAGGGTTTCGGCGAATATAAATACGTTAACGAGAAGTGTTTTGCATTGGAATACACAAATCGATGGCCAGTTGATTACGTCATTGATAATGGACAGCATTATAGCTCGGATAATGAAGGCAATTGAGTATATCAAATGGAATTGGGTTAAATATTCAATATTTTATAATTTTTGAAAGAGGTATATTGCATTACGTTGAATAGTTTTGTCCTTTTTACTTGACAAAGTCATGACCGGCATACTTGAAGTTCCCCCAGCCGTTCTCAACTCGTCCTCAATGTCAATGAGGCGGTTATACTTCGCTACCCGCTCTCCTCGAAAGGGACTGCCAGACTTCAGATGCCCCGCGCCAATAGCCACTGTTAGATCTGCGATAAAATCATCGGTTGTCTCCCCCGATCGATGCGAGACAAAACCGCGCCATTCATACCTGTGCGCTTTTTTGCGGCAGCGTCGGCACGATCGCATGCCATGCTAACACCTAGGATGGCATTTGCACCCAGGTTGTCTTTTTTTTTTTTTTTTTGGTCTCGTCAAGCTTGATCAGGAATCCATCGATCTTAGCCAGATCCGTGCGCAGGTCAAAATGCTGTTTGATCAAGACAGGGGCGATGACATTCTCCATATTATGCACTGCCTGTGGGACCCCATTCCCTCCGTAGCGTTTCGGATCTTGGTCACGCAATTCAAGGGCTTCATAGCCTCCGTCCGATGCCCCAGAGGGAACAAGCGCAGCAAATTAACCTAATATGGTGGGTTCAAACTAGGTAGGTAGTCCTGAGAAACAAAACAAAGCCAACCGTTTCCTGTTGAAACTATAACCTTGACCGTCGGCTTTCCTCTAGAGTTCAATCTCTGTGCAGCTTGAATTAAAGAACCAAGGGAATAAAACCTTGTTCACGCACCATTTTATATCTTGCGGCCGTTTGAAAAGCTCAAATAGGTTATCAAAAAGGATGCATGCTATTTGAGCCTGCAATTGATAGGGCTGTAATGATTTCGTAGACAGTCTAGAAATACATCACTTGACGTCATAAATTGTCAAGACCACAAATTATGATATCTGAGATATTTGGAAGTATTTTGAAATACGTGCACTATTCGAATCTACCGAATTATATTGGAACCTTGCGGTTTTCCTTAAGATTATGCAAGGTGTCGGGGTTTAAGTACAACCGCCGTAGTAAATCCGAAAGTCTATTTTTCTTCAATGGCAGTCACAATTCAACCCTCAACTCACAATTGTAGACACTTATCAACCTCTACAGCCATTTGTAATGGCGTTCCAACATCTCAAACCTGCTCAGCGAGCTGACGCAGATTCAAGAAGGGACCTCATATCTTCATTAGATGTCATAACTCGAAGAAAAATCCAGAATCGTCTCAACCAACGTGCCAGTCGTAAGTAGCAGGCCTAATTTCGCTCTAAAGCTCCAGGCCTTATGATCTGACTTTTCTATCTATAGGACAGAGAAAGGCCATCCAATCCGGAAGGAACCCATACCATCCGAAGCAAAAATGGGTCTATTACATTGAAACGGCCAAGATCACTGACCCAAGCCCGATAACGAATGATAAAGTTGCCACCAAAGAGCCATCCTCAGAGACGGAGCAAGAGATAGTTCGCTTCTGCGAAGCAGACAAAAACCAACGGCACGAGTACCTGAACAAACTCTTAACAGAAGTCCAAAATGGCGCCACAAAAAATCTTTACTCGGCCACTTTGCTCCTTTCCGTGACTCAGTTGAATGTTATCCGCGCGATGTACTCCAATGCCACAAGCTTAGGTCTCACCGCCGACTTGCTTGAAGAAGACATTGCATCCCAATTCAACATAGTCGGTCCTTTGGCACTGCCTTTACCTCCCAGCTTGCAACCAACTTCCTCACAGAAAAAGATCATACATCACCCGTGGATTGACCTGATCCCAATGGGTTCCCTTCGCAATGCTCTTTTGGGATCAATGTACCGGTATGACGATGAGGAACTTTGCGGAGATCTATTTGGACTTTGCGGTGCCTCTAGGGAAGTTGGGCTTTTTATTTGGGGCGAAGCATGGGATCCGTCGGCATACGAAGCTTCAGAAAAGTTTGTTCAGAAGTGGAGTTGGATTTTGGAAGACTGTCCAGATATCTTGGAATCAACAAACTACTGGAGAAGCAAAAGGGGAGAGAGGCCTTTGCGACTTCAGTTCTCGAGAGGAGAAGTACCTAAATTCAGCGAAGCCTCATGTAAATAGTAAATTAGATCAGATCAAGGCGAAAACTTCTCCTGAACAAACTCTTCGCCTAGCTCCCAGAGACGCTTCCAGTTTTGCTTATCCCTAACATGCGTGTGCAGCTCGTCATCTGAAACGGCGTTCTTGTTCAAATACGATCCATTCAAATCTAATAAAATTTAGTACTTTCTGTCTCAAGAATAGTTATTCGGGGTACTGACCTGCGATGGTAGGGTCGATCATGCCAGTGATCATTGTGGCTGCTCCTTCGGACCTCGAAGTCCACGGTGGAATTGTGAAAGGGATGCCATCCATGTCGGTCAAAGCTGTTTGGCTTTGGCTTAATATCAAATTAAGAAATACCGCTTCAGGGGTAGACTTACGTCCAGCTTTTCTCCACTCCTCAATCTGTTTCGTGAACTCGGAAGTGAAATGCCGTTGTAGCCCAGACCGCACAGCTGCGGCAATTAGCTTTCGAACGCATAATTAGAAGAGCATATACATACCACCTGGATCAATACTACAAGTGCGCACCCCCTGTCCTTTTAGTCGCTCGGCAAGCTCTTTCACGAACATCACTCGCGCAACATTGGACTGACAGTATGCGACCATAGGCTCGTACGTTTTGCCATCCTGCTAGTAAGACTCGGATTAGTATCAGGTGTCCAAAAATACTAAATATTCAAGCTTACGCTGAAGCCAATGTCATCAAAGTGCACTTTCCCCTGTCTAACTGCAGAGCTAGCCACGATTATGACAGACGAGGATGGACCAGCAGCCTTGATCTTCGGCAAGAGCAGTTTCACAAGCAAAAAGTTAGCGAGGAAGTTGACCCCAAGCTGCGATTCGAATCCATCAACGGTCTTGCTGTACGGACATGCCATGACTCCCGCTGCACAGACGAGATGGTCAATCTGAGGAACGCCCTTGAGATCATGATCCACTGCCTTGCGGATGGCACTCAAGTTGCCGAGGTCCATGTTCAGAAAACGCGTTTGGACATTCGGCTTTGCTTTCTGAATTTTCTGCATAATAGGAGCGACCTTTGATTCAGCACGAGCGCTGAGAATAAGCAGCTTTGGATCGACATTGGCCAGCTGGACAGCTAGCTCTCCGGCAATGGAGTCATCAGATACTCCGGTAATCAGGACTATAAATACACGTCAAAAATGGTCACTACCATAGCAGGAAATTTCCTTGTACCTGTCTTGCCGACAAGAGCCTTGCCGTATTTTTCCAAGACGGCCTCGGATGAGAGGACTTGCTGCTTGTTGGACATACTGAACTGTATCAGTCGAAGAAGAAGAGCGACGATTGAATAAGTGATTGAAGGTTGAAGACTTTCTGAAGATGAGGACACCTGAAGTCGTGGCAATTTATATGTGGAAGCATGCCTAGAAATGAAAGAGAAAATACCTATACTTCTGAGGCGAATACTAATGTCCCAGCGCCGAGACCCACTTCATGGCGTTCATGTACCGCATGTAGTTAGTACACTGTCATCAAGGCCGCGAGTCCAGACCTAAGCAGCAATCAACCAACATTTGTTCGACCATAGGTGCGTGATTTTAGTAAATTATTAGGAGACTAGAATAGTATAGACCATACCGGGGTGGTTCCGAAAGCGCTCCTATGCAGCACGGAAGAATGCCACACTAATAGCCGTTAAATGCACTGTAAAGAAACTATGCGGCAAATTTATGGGTACGAGATTTCTTGAAAAGTAAAATGTAAAGTGTCCTTGCCATGCACTAAGAGACACCCAAAAAATATAGAGTCTGTGTAGAATATCCTTATCCATTATACAACTTTTCATTCCTTCAAAGTTTGACGGTAGGCAATTCTGACATGTGCACTTTGACAGCTCCGTAAGGTCTCAACTTGTACTCCTGTTTACCTCCCAGACAGGCTGTGTTGGTCGGAGCCCACTCGGGTGTAGCACCCAGATACAGATCCCAGTTAACCATGCAACCATGAACAGTTACAAAATTAGGCGGTGCCGCTTGCGCAAAGATGGGATCTGCCAGGGTCGTGTCCTTGCCCATGCCGTGATACCTGAGCGTTGATGGATCAATTGCAACGTTCCAGGTCGATGAGTTGCTAATATAATAATCTCGCAGCTCGGGGTAAGGGAGGTAGTCGAGTCCGGGCCCCGTTGGGTCGTAGTAGGCGTGCGGGTATGATGAGGTCTCTTGGAAACCTACATCCAGGGCATAGAGGACGTTTCCATAGTAGACGGCGATGGTGTTGTTAGCTCGGCTCTCGGTTCGGAGCGCTGCGTCGATAGTATATTTGACAGTTGTTTTGCCGGCCTTGATGGCGACAAGGTGAAGACCGTTACTATTGGGCGAGGGGGAGGATGAAGCACCATTGACTATCAGCTCCGAGGACGCGGTGTTAATCCACGAGGGAACGCGGATGTAGAAGTCGAAATCTTTCTTGGCAATAACCGTGTAGCTCAGGGTATTGCCAAAGGGATATGTAGTATCGCAATTGATGCTGACGTCCGATCCTGCAACCGTTGTGGTCACCTTCGATGGGCTAAGCAGAGCATGAGCTAAGCCGTTATCACCAACACGGACCCAGCTATTTGTTGTGAACTTCGGATATCCTTGGGGATGATTGACAGTGCAGCAGGGATAGAGAGGCTCCATTCCATAAGTGGTTGCAACACCACTATTGGCTGTTGTGAATACGTGAGGGGCATTCGCAACAAAATCTTGGGTGTTGTTAACAGCCCATGGCTGGTTGGGCTGGTCCATGTACTGGTGAGCCCACTTGTCGCCCGTGAGCATGACTGGCATGGCATTGAAGATGGTACGTTCAGCGCGGTCGGCGAACATGTTGTTACCCAAGACCTGATACATGTAAATGAGCGAGTATGCTGTCTCGACGGCGGTGCAAAGCTCGCTGCCCATATATGGAGCTAGGTTGTGCTGGATTTCATCGGCGAGGATGGTCCCAGAGGGAGATCCGTGGTATTGGAAAGTCCAATTGACAGCATCCATACTCTTTTGGATAAAAGTCTCGTTATTGGTGAACCGGTACATAACCGCAGATGCCTTGAGCCCTATTTGTAAAAGTAATCAGATATGACCAAAACGTGAAAGCGCATGAAGACTGTCCATAGCCTACCTTGACCAACGTTGACGCCGTGCATGTAAGGGAAATCCGTGGCATCTGCACTGGGATTTGCGACCACCTTGGGATATGTGCTCGCCGTATACCACTCGTCCCACTTGAACTGATCCTGTGAGTAGAACATATTCATATTCTCCCATAGAGTGGAGTCTTGATTGGAGGGATACTTTTCGATCATCCATTGAATGGTGATGATGAGATCGTGCACTCGAGTCTGGCCCCAACGACAGTCAATGGAACTGTCACAGTTTGTAAAGCCTTGGCTATTATTTTTCAGCATTGTGTTGGTCAGATCCATAAACTTCCGAAGGCCATTGAGAACGGGCTGCTCCCATGTCGAATTGGCCTCGGCCAGTTGTGTAAGGCCTAGGAAAAATGGCGTTCGAGCCCAAAAATTGCGGTCGGCATATGTTTCAGGGCCGATCCATCCGTCTGCCGTTTGAAGACCGAGGACGGTAGAAGCCACGGCATGAACTTGATCTTTCAGCCTGGAATCATCAAGGACGTAGGCCATTGGTACCAGCCCATTGAACCAGTACGGAAGACCCTCGTTCAGATTGCTATAGTCGGTGCCACCACCACTGGGTCCAAATAACCACCGAGACTCATTGACGTAGACATAAAAGTCGTGTTCATGCCCGGCAAGACCGTTAGCCATAGCCCGCATCTCTCCTAATAACCATCCTGCAGGTTTGACGGAGCCGACTGGTAGTGGCGAATAATTCCATGCTTGCACTACGCAGGTTAGAGAGGAATTTTTCAGGGTATAAAATACTCACGGCTTTGAGCGCCTGCTGCAGCCAATGCCCACATTGTCAGTTGACTGGTTAGAGCAGCGTAGAACAACTTCATCTTGCAGAGATGGTTGTTTTCAAAGTCGAGACTTAGCTACTCCCCAAGTGGAGGGCCTCAGTATTATACCAGGAAGGGCAGGGGCGCGATGTTTACCGTGTTGAATAGGCGGAGACGGCGCCCCCACATTCTTACTCCGCCACTACAGCCTGATGGACGGATGCAACGTCAGGGGTAGTTAGGGGGGGGGGGGCAACCGTGACTCTAGGCGTTTTCCCCAATATTTTAGTTGAAAGCTTGTTCGGCATCTAATGACCCGTAATTTGACCGAGGTTCAATCAGGGTAGAGAACCAGGACCAATCAAAATGGTCGAAGAACAAGTTTTACTAGAGGAGCACGGAGTTAATCACGCCGGACTAGATCAGGCAATACCTTAATACTCCCTAGGACGAGCGGAACGGAAGTATAGAATAACAGCTACCGAATAAGCTCTCATTCCTGCCAAAAAAAAAAAAAAAAAAAAAAATTTCGAGAAGCGGGCTTCTCCGAAAAAGAAGCATCAAGATCTTAGGTTCTTTTGGAGGAACTCAAGTATCAAGTCCGAAATTGACTCCAGATGTGTTTCTAATGCAAAATGACCTGCATCCAGCAGATGAATTTCAGCATTAGGCAAATCTCTTTGGAACGCCTCGGCCCCAGGAGGAATAAAGATCGGGTCGTCCTTGCCCCAAACCGCAAGGAGTGGGACCTGAGAACTTCGCAAGTAATTCTGGAACTGGGGATAGAGCGGGATATTTTTCTGGTAGTCTTTGATCAGATCCATTTGAATATCGCCGATCCCCGGTCTAGACAAAAGGGTGTAGTCGAGCAAGTATGTTTCCGGCGGTATCGACTCTGGATCTGGAGAGCCAGTGACATACTGGAACTTTGTTGTGTCGTAGGAAAGCAAGTAAAGGCGCAACTTTTCTCGAATTCTTGGGTTATTACTTTGCCAGTACGGCTTGATTAAATCCCAGAAGCCGCCCAGTCCCTCTTCGTAGGCATTGCCGTTCTGACTTATGATAGCAGTGATGCTTGAAGGGCGTTGAAGAGCGAGGCGCAGAGCAGTGGGAGCGCCGTAGTCAAATATGTAGACCGAGAACTGATCAATGCGCAAATGATCGAGAAAGTCGCCGACAAACGTGGCGAGATTCTCGAATGTGTATTTATAGTCGTATGGAACTGTGGTAAATCCAAAGCCTGGTAGGTCTGGCGCTAAGACCCAGTAAGATGCGGAAAGCAGAGGTATGAGGTTGCGGTACTGGTGGGAGGAGCTAGGGAAGCCGTGAAGTAGCAGAATGACCGGTTTGGCATGGTCTCCTGCCTCTCGATAGAAAGCATTAATCTGCCCTAACTGGGCATGTTTTATTTTAGTTTGCATAGTTTGGAAGATCAAAAGCTTGTATGTGTTGCGGGTAATTTCGGTCGGCTGGTTCTAATAAGTACTGGTGGGTTTCGCGCCAGATGGTGTCGTAAGCATTATGTCAATGGTTCACAGAATCTGAGGAGTGTGGGCGTCAGAAAGGCCAGGGAGTTCTAGATGGGCCTATCAGCAGGCCTAAGTGAATAGTCGATCGGACGGTAGTCAAACATGGAGATGCTTATCTGCACATGCCTAGGAGGGGATTCTGCTGGATCAGCGGTAGAATCTCTGAAATAGGGAATCTTGCCAGATTCGGACTATCCGCCAATCTACGCCAGGAATAGACTACGCGACGCTAGTCATTATGTTTATTTATTTGCTCAACATTTAGACACTCAACACTCCTTTTTCAAAATCCCGCATCAATCAATTACACAAGATGTCGGCTGCGGAAGGCACCGAGTGCTACATCATCCGTCTTCCCTACGAATTGCTTACCTGGATGCTCAATGATGCCACCCGTGAATTCAGAAACTCCGTGGAGAGACACCCTGTGCGCGAAACGGGCGCTCGCAAAACCGCCAGGGCATTACCGCTGGTGTGCCGGCGTTTCAACGCCATTGCGATGCCCCTTCTTTACGAGTGTGTCGTGTTGAATTATGTCGATTTTATTGGCACCAGCGAACTCCGGCACCGTACCGATGATATTGTTAATGCGGTTTGGGATGATTATATACCTGTTCCTTAAACAGGTATGTGCCCCGGGTGAGCTCGAGATGTTAGATGAAATGTGGGATGCTGGACTGCCCTGATCCGATGGGCATCTGACTAGACTAATGCTACGCAAAGAGAGAGACCAGGATGTCGAAACTATAAGGTCATTCCTATGGAACATTAAATCGATTATAATCCACTGGCGGCTAAACCAGAGCCGGCCATCCAAGGTCCATCCAATCAATACACGCTCCCGCCCCGAAAAAGCGGAAAGGAAAGAAAGAAACTCATAATAGGCGTAAGGGAACATAACAGCACATGAACGTCATCTAGCCGATTAGAATAAGATGATCCCCGCCACCAAGCCAATCACGATGGCCATGCAACTACCGCGCATGTTCTCCGAGTGCCGGCCGGCAGCAATATCCTCGGAGTCGTCGGTCACGATGGTGGGGGACTCCAGTGGTTGTGTTTCGTCCTCAGGGTTTCGTGCTGGGCGCGAATGATCAATTGATGCGGGTTTTTGATCCTCCTTGGTTATAGGATGATCCTCCTTATTTCGTTGTACCGAGAATGAGGGCCGGGAGCCAGTCCAAGACGGCCATAGGTCAATTGCGACACGGCAGACCTGCTGCCAGAAATGGCTGAGATGGGCAGGGAGCTGCAGTGCTAGCTCATCGTTGAGAAATTGATGCCACGGGAAGGATTGATTTCTATACGCGTAATAGAAGTCTTGAAATGGGTCATGAGACGTCGGGGAAGTAGATGAATTTGTGACGGAGATGGCGGGACACGAATTTTGGGTTTCGGATGCTGATGCGCCGCGATTGGAGGCATCCAGCTGCTGGGAGAAATATGATCGGAACGTTCGTACCGGACGGATGAACATGGACGAATCCCCATAGAGATAGGACAATTGGCTTCTATTGTCCACCGACGGGACGTCGGTAGAGGTGGGGACAGAGGCATCGGTCTCGAGTCGGGAAGTGCGCGACAGGCGATTGACGCGTGATCTATGAGGCGACGTTCTGATTAAAGCTTTCCGACGGTCCGCGTTCTGCAAGGAAATTTCCGATGGTATATGTGCGAGGCCATCCTTGATGAGGGGTGCTTCTGCGCGGGTTGGTTAGCTCAACAAGTCGCACTCCAGGCAGGGTCACCAATGGAACATACGGCGAGCTCCGCTACCATAGTAGTAGCCAAAATCGGCAAATTTCAAGCTGTAGATGCTCGGCAGCGACGGCACCAGCGAGAGCAGCGAGAACACGACCAAGGCGAGGAGCGGAATCGCGCCGGGTTTATGAAGCGGCGGGCGCATGGTCCACACTGCCCGAGCGTGGCCGGGCACTGGAGCTACTCGGACGGGTGCTGCTGCGCTGTTGTCGCGAATTGAAGAGGACTGGCAGCGTGAGGGCCATAGGCACGACGATGAGAAGGCGCAAACGAGTTTTTCTGGTGTTTGTCTTTCTTTTGCAGGTGGTGGTGGTGCAAGTCCAGCAAGTTCCGGGCAGTTGGGCTGTCGATCTTTTTTTTCTTTTCCAAGGTCCGTGAGACGCGGGAAGGCGCCAATGACGTAAACGAGTGGTGATGGGGAACAGAGCGGGCGGAAAAGCCAGTGGGGGATCTCTTGCAAATTGACCTTTCAAAAAACCGGAATTGCTGCTCTTAAGGTTTATTATTTTAGTCTTGTTCCGAATTTAGGTTGTTCTTGAGGCCTTCCAGGAAGGAATGGTGTTGGTTATAGGTTGTCCGTGCTCAGCATTCCCTGATCGTAGTTAGCCCTAGTCAGTTCTTCATTGCCACCAGAGTGAGACAACAACCCCCCATCCCACACCCCGTCATTTATGTTCCCTGGCAAAGTGACACAGGGCAAACAGGCACACTCCGTCATTGTCGGATGCATCCGCGTCGAGTAGTGCAGACGCCAAGCCCACCGTCGACAGCCCCGATATGATGTGGCCCCCAAGGCAATCAATAGGGCAGCTGTCGTTGGTGGGATAGAGAGTAGGGACCCCCACTCGTTGTGCCGCCGCATATGCAAGTTATTTTAGGATGGGCTGATTGTCCGGTTATCGACAAACGCCGACGATGCCCAGCCCGGCATTCCTGAGATGCACATGCGCCGCTCCGCCTCATGACATTTCCTGGAATAATCGTGAACATCCATCAGGAAGGGCTCATGGGGCTATCCATGGCTTGGCTATCCCGTCGTTGTAACTTCATTCCGATCAGCCTTGCTACGGCTGCAATAACGCCCCAGGTGCCTGGCAGAGGCAGGAATGATCCATCGCGGGGTTTATTCTAGTTCATTGAGCCTCTCCAAGGCACAGAGAGAGGGGGTGGCTGTAAATGCACCCTGATCGTCTCTCGTGTCATATCTGACACGAAGGTGGCGCGGCGGTAGTTCATGATAGGGTCGTGGTATATAACGACTGCGCCCGAACTGCCGCATGTTGTGACAATGATAGACCCTTCCTCTGTCCCCCGCTAGTTACGAATTGCCCGACGCAGCGGCAAAGTCACCAGTAGAGACGGAAACCTTGAACTCGAGATTGTTCCATATCCCACAGAAGAGCCGTTCGAGAAGGCCGGTCTGCGCACAGGCGACGAGGAGGACGAGACACGCGAGCACCTCGTAGCTGACCATGGCCCGCGGGGTGATCCGACCGGGGTAGATAGGAGAGAAATCTGTGCCAAAGTGCAACCCGGACGATGAGAAGCAACGAATATCCGTAAAACAGGAGCGTCAATGCCTTGCAGGATATCAATACTTCTTCCTGTCTCGCTCCTGGCAAATGCTACCTTTATCTACCTCCTCAGCAAACCTTCCTGCCCACCACCAACTCGGGGTGTGATGAGTACGATCGGTTACACGAACCTAACCTCTGCTCCGGGGAAGCGCCATCTCTGTCCCGTCAGGCAGCCTTCACCGCCGATCTGGTCAAGCACGAGCGCCGCTGCATTGATATTGCCTTATGTATTGAGTATTGATCGGAGTCGCCTCGATTTGGAGGCCATAGTGTCTATCCATGCTAGGACGGAATGTCCAATGCACTGTGGAAGCTCTCTCTGTGGAAGTATGGTGGCGGGGTGTGCAGTCTTTCTGGGCGCCAGTGACTTGCCACCTCCCATCTTCTTTTCAACTCATGGTATGCCTTTTCGCATGAACGAAGGACTACTGAAGGGAAATCCAAGCAGGTTCAGATTGGTTATTAGGTCAATTCGGGTAGCAGGGCTTCTATGTCCATCGTAGACTCTGTACAGTACAGAAGACAGCGAGAATCCCCCAGGACATCGAGTGTGCGCATCTGCCATCCACAAGTCACACAACACCATCATCCGAGGTTTCTTCTCGCCGCATATATCGTAAGGAAATAGATACATTAAATCGGATTCATCATAGTCGCATGCGGCACAGCAGGGGACATAACCTTACCCGCCGAGGCGGAGCTCATCGGCGTCGGCTTCGACACCGGCCCAGGCGAGATAGTCGTCGGGGCACTAGTCTCGCGATGACTCGGGGAGCGACTACTGCGACTGCGCGACCGGTCGCCGCGCGAGGTACTACTCCCGGCCGTACTGCTGCCGGGTTTCCCGCCGCGTTTGACCATTTTGCCCAGCACGCCCACGATCTCGGCGGCGTCTTCGAAGCTCTCGTCGTCCATGCCTTCTTGCGCGTTGTACACATCCGCGATGGCTTGTTTGGCGAGGCGGCGGCAGGAATTCGGGTCTTGGAGGCAGTCGTAGAGGTAGGCTGCGTATTCGAGTTTAACGGAAAGGCGCAGCGGGTGCGAGCCGGGGAGGAGCTTGTCGGCCAGGAAGGCGGCGTGGTTGAAGCATGCTGTTGCGGTTTCGGTGTAGTCGAGTGGAGGGAGGAGGAAGGAGGATGCTGGCTGCGGTGGTTGCACGGGTGCTAGGCCCGGAGGGGGTTGAGGGTTTGTCTTTGGTTTCTGGCCTTGGTGCTGGCCGAGCGCAGTCAAGGATTCTGGGCCGTAGATCGAGTCGTGTTTGCCGTCTGCTGGGGGTTCCGTGTCTGGTGGATAGATGACGGGACGGTTGTGGAAGAGCACGAAGATGTGGTAGAATGAGGCGCGAAGTTTGTAGGACAGGACGTTCAATTCGACGAATGCGTTGACCATGGGCAGGACATATCCCTCTAGAATCAAAAGACCCTCACGCGAGAGCCATATGATGTGGTGATAAAGCTGTAGGGACTTTGTTTCACGCGTTGTGTCGAGCCGCCGCAATCGTCGCGCGCGGACGAGTTTCTTGGAGAGCATGACCGAGACACCGAGAACCTTGTACAACATCGTCGAGAGCAGAGGGTTCTCAAAAGCCATGACGCGCGCGAACTTGCCCAGGGCCTTCTGGTCCACCTCGGAGGAGGCCATCCATAAATCGAATGTCTCTGCTTCTAGCAAGTCGAAATCGACCATGTCAGCCATTGTGAGGAACGTGGTCAATCAATTGGAGTTTGGGGTTATAGGGATCATAGAATTGAAGATCGGACATGAGGCCTGTAATAAAGCAGAACGCGAAAACCGTCGATCAGGAACATATATCGCAATTGAGCTTACCTGACTAGCGCGCGCAAACAATCTAGCAGAGCGGAGCTTCAAACAGTCCTCAAACGCAGCTGCTGCACCATAGAGCGTGGAGGGCCCGAGCTGCCGACCAAAGTAAACACCCCGGCGCTTCCCGCAGTCGATCTGTCCAGGGAAGACCAGAGACCGGAGGGCTACCGGGTATAAATTGAAACGTGTGTGTCAAATGGATAAACAAGCGCCGACACCAGTCTGGAACGTCCAATGGCTTCGTCGTCCGACTCCTGAACTCCAAGCCCCGCGAAAAAAGGACGCCGAACACCACGCCAAAACACGCCTGGCTCACTCCAATCGTGTATGTATCTGCCAAGGTTCTTCCCGATCTAGTCACTTGCCGATGGGGAATGCGAGATTCAGCAGCGCGTGTCGAGTCTCCACCGCTAGCGACGCAAGGTACGGGCAACGAGGGGGTGAAGGACGGGGAGCTCGTGGTTGATCAGACGCATCGTGAGGTGGGCGAGCAGGGGGGAGGCGTTCTGGGTTCGTCCGTAATAACGCCGACGGGACACCCAGCGCACAAGCAGCGCAGTGAGCGGGGGCAAGTGTTGGAGCGGAAGGGAAGAAGAAATAAATGCGCGGGCGAGGAGGGTGGTTGTCGGGAGAGACCTACAGCATGGCGGCCAGGACTTGAGAGAACAGAACCAGGCGAGATTTAACGGAATTGATCGTAGTTAGGGTCCAGCTGCATGGCTTAGTATTTCCCCTGATATGACGCACGGAGCGATACTGTATGGGGCAGAGTTCGGGGGACATAGTGCAATCCTACTCTAGGCCGGGCCCACCAGGACAATACGAAATACCAAAGTAGGGCTTGCGATCAATTCATTCCGCACTGCCCAAGTGGCAACTTGACCATCGCATCCCCCAGCCTCGCATTAAATGCGTTGTCCTGCAGCGATACATAGTAGTGAACCGGAGGAATACCGTCCAGGCGCGGTTCATCCGCTACGTGGCAGCGTGGCGGGGATTGGCCGATCTGGATTAAGCGTGAAAAAAAATCCCCTAGGAAGTGATGAGCACGGACTGCCAGCGTGGCAGTGGCTGTCATGTCATATCATGCCTAACTAGGGGAGAATTGTCCACGCGGTTGGGGATTGCGATCGCCAGGCATCGGTTGAGTTGGCAATAAATCCAGGACGGATCGAGTCTGGGGATGATCGGTCGGTCTGTACCTGGCGAATTTACCCTGTATAGTTACCTGTCGAAAAATGCGGTAGAATCTCGACCTGTCATTGTGGGACCGCAGGATCCGAGCGGGCCAGGTACGATTACACCGCTAGAATGATGTGATCCCGAAGGGGAATTGAATTGTTTGACTGGACTGGTTGGCCCGAGTACATACACTGGAAACCCTAACTTATCTATCTGAATGAATGCCTAATACGTAACGTGATTCAAGCAAGGTCGTCGAGTTCATCAATGTCCACATACCCCGCAAACGCTCGCGTGAGGAATGCGCGCCAGACGTGGTTCTTGCGCTTTTTCTGGATCTCCGGTCCATTTGAATCAATACTCTTGGTATTGTCTTCATCGGCAATTGCCGTGGCAAGTTGGAACCAACTGCGCACCGTGAGATCCTTCATCTCGTAGATGTCATCGTCTGTGCGATATTCGACCTCGAAGTGGAGTTTCGGGCCTTCGTCGGATACACTCGATTCGGCCTCTTCATTGAGTCGGGTCAGATTGGCGTAGTATTGCGTCCAGCCAAGGAGAGAGAACGCCTGGGGGGAGTGCGCAGGGCCGGGAGGACTTGTGGACGATGGAGGCTCCGGCATCTTAAAGGAAGGCTTCTTTTTATCCTTCTTTTGCTTCTTCTTCTTCTTTTGAAGTTCAGGGGCATCAGATCGTAATTCCAGGAATTCATTGTCGCCATGATCGAAATGAGTATTGGCATCGGAAACAATATCGGCTGGACTTTCACTGTCCGCTTCGGGCACGAGGTTTTCCACACCGGTGATGTTGTACTCGATCACTCGAAGGGTCGGGAAGTAATTGGGGACCAGACTCGGTGCGACTAGTGACACACTGTATCGTTCAGCCCAAGGGCCCCCGATCTTTTTGAGGAACTTCTTCCTTTTCTGTTCTTGCTTCTTTTTCTTCTTGCTCTTTTTCGTTGTCTCTATTTCCCCGGATTGGCTATCCGCAATATCAAAGACCCCCGATGGCGGAGATGGCAGATCGGCCCACTGCTCGCGAAGACTGTCCAGGTACTCCTCCTTGGACGAGATCGACACTCGACCGTCCGATGATTTCCGGATTCCCTCAGAATCGATATCGATTTGGTGGCTGTCTTGCAGCATGAAGTGATCGATATTCATATGGCCGTAGAAGCTGCCCACGACGACGTCGCGGTAATTATGCAGCCACAATGTGTATTTCTGCCAGCAGGTCTCATCCCAATTGCATTTTGAGCTTGACCGCGCAGGGGGTACATGGCCCATGAGAATGGCCTTCATCTTGCGACTCCGCAGCAGCTTCAGCTGCACCCGTAACCATTCCATATGCTCATATCCAGGCTCCGACTTGTCCTCGCAGCCGTCGACTGCGGTGTTGGACTCGAAGAAGTACATCGTGTTCAGGCTGATGACAGCCAATTGGCCCGGGATGACCTCGCTCGTGAACCAACCACCTTCAACAAAGGTGTGACGCTGATCCTCGGGAATGAATTTCTCCCAGACTTGAGCAAGGTTTTTCGTCCACCGATTAGGGCCATTCTTAAAGATGTTGTGTGGCATGATGTCGTTGTTGCCGATCGTTGGCACCACGGGGACAGACAACCGGGGCACACTCTTGCTACCCTGCGCATTTTGTTGTTGGTCGAACAAGGCGATCCATTTCTGGGCCATGAATTCATTCAGTTCCACCACTTCATCGCGAGTCCGTGGGATCTCTTCGTCATTGTCGTGCCGAGCCGAGTCGCCCGTCCAGATCACAAAATCAATATTATCCTTCAGATTCTCCTCAATCCATCGGAAGGTCTCGTTGACCAGCGATAACGGGCTATCGCACTCGCTCCCTTCAGTCCCGAAATATCCTGCGGACCCCTTACCGCTGTGGCACGAGCTACCGTCGATCGACGTTCCGGGCTTGTAGTGCCGGTCGGGATGGAAATCTAGGAAAGACGAAGTTAGCATAGAGCACAACAGCCTGATCTTATACATCCTTACCCGTAATGTGCAAGAACCTGCCATGCAGGGGTCTTGGCGATGTGCCTGTCTGGGGCTCTGTCGCATCCGCAGCTCCCTCCGACCGGTCGCTCACCACCCCCAGTAGTTGTTGCTGAAAGGGAATGGCGGAGACACTAGCCAAGAGGCCCAGCAGCAAATTGATCGACTGCATGTTGCCTCCTAGCCAGTGCGCGCATCGATGCAAAAAGAAGAGGAAAAAAAAAAAAAGAAAGTTGATCTTATCGCGGGCCGGGATTCACGTCACTCAGCCACCGCTGGCCAATCATGTAGAGGGAGTGCGGCTAGGATTGTAGTAGTCGGAACAAGGGAGAACAAAGAAGACCTGTATGTAGTTGATGGTGGTTGTGTGCAAGAATTGATGGTGTTTGGGACCAGCCATAATTCCCCAGATCGACGCATCCTCCCGTTCGGTGGTGATCTACTGCTGCGTGCACGGGGGGTCTGTGAGCGCCCTGATTGATGGATGGGAGGCACGTGATCGGCCCGCAATATGGCGGGGGGTTCTCCCAAGGTCCTCGCGGGACACGGACTTGACCTCGTGCAGTGTCAACATGGCGGAATTCCCTGCTCTCCAGCATGCTTTTACGGTGGAGGTAAGATTACATGCCATTTAGGGAAGTTGTGTTATGGGACTGACCGCTTCAAGGTCGAGGTCGGCGAACCGCTGGCCGTCGGTATGTTTGAATGCCCGAATAAATACTTGGAACAACACTAATCCCCCATGCAGGCAGTGCCTCACGCACCAATCCCCTCCAGGTGGTGCCGATGACTGGAGGGACAGTCAAGAGTGCTCCCGGGTTCGCTCCCGGCATCGATGCCGGCTTCGTCGGTGTCGGCAATGATTACATCCATGCGGACCCGGATACAAACCACGCCCGGCTGGATGCCCACTCGGTTCTCAAGTATGTTGGAGCTATGACCTCTCTCCTGGACCGGGTATCTAATGTGTTTTGACCCCAGAACTCAGGATGGCGCTGTATGTATTACGCATCCTCCCTAGCCTCGGATACCGAGAGCTGATCGAATAACAGCTTCTCTATCTTCATTACACCGGTGTTCTCACCCTCAGCCCCGTTGAAAAGGCAGTCCTAGGCGGCAATGCGGAAGACGGGCCGACGCCCTTCGGGAATATTTGTACATTCCCTCCCCTGTGTTACTATATTTGCATCCACGCTAACCCGGTTTGTTCCGCAGTCACGCATTTCACCTTCGAGGTAAGCAAAGGATTGCCTCACAGAAGGATCATAAGAACTGACCCTGATTCTCTTGTAGACTGGCGACGACCGGTATCGCGAGCTGGAGAACCGGGTCTTTGTCGGGCAGGGCCGGTTCGTCGTGCGGACTGGGAAGCCGACGGTGGTGGAGTACCGGGTCAGCCAGGTCGTTCAGGGCTAACTAGTCAACATGTCAACTATTTCAGAGCATGGGCCCCATTTTGACCAGGTCCCAATAAACCATTTGCTTTGCTAAACCCAGCGCCTCAATAAGTGGTATGTGCTCCATCAGCCGTGCATGCGGTGGCACTTTCGCATGCGAGAACCGATGCATGTGGAAATTATGCGGCATTTAATGGTATAATCGCGGTATTTGCTCGCGTAGAGCCCGTATAGGTTCTCTGCTACTCGATGCATCTTCCACCTTACGGTAATGCACCATTAGATGTGGACAAAACATGTTCGGATCAGATCATCCTGTAGCCACCTAGAGCGCCTTGGCACGGAGTCAGCTCTTCCCATTTCCCCCACCTTTTATGGAACTGTCATGCCTGACGCAAGATCCTGGTCAATAATCAGAAGTTCTAGGCGCGTCGCGGAGAACCACATCGGTTCCTCCTGACATGACAGTAGCACGGAGCCAAGACCCAAGACTGTGACAGGTTTCATCCCCTTCATCAAGCGAACCTTTTGTCCCAACTCTGATGTACCGGCAAGGTTCGAGCTTAGTCCATGGTCCGTGTCTCCGTCGCCAAAGCGAACAGCCCTGGATTGGAATGCACGCACCGACACTACATTCCTGGTCGCCACCCGTAGCGAGCTAACGCACGAGCTCAATATCATAGTTTCGGGTGCCCACGGGCGTGGCGGCCGTACGGATGTAGGACACTGCAGGAGCACTCGGGCCGAAATCAATCTGGAGGTGGAAGCGAGACTGGTTCGGCTCGAAGGGGCATAGCTCAGTCTGGGGAAATGTCAGTCAGGGCTCCGTGATCCGTGGTTCATCGGCCGCGGAGCATCCTCCGTACTTACAACCGCTTCCGCTTTGGGATGCCTCCAGGGTGACGCTAATCCCCAGATTTAAAAAATGCGGAGGTTGGGCCAAAAGGATTATTCTCGCCGAGATATATCGGCCAATCAAGGGTGGGAGTTGACCAACGAAGGCATGGGTTCAGCCCTAAATAATAGGCTTGTGATCCGAATCCCCTGTTGTTGATCCTGCCTTTACTTTGTACAACTCGTGAAGTATTCATCTAGATTCAACTGTAGCTAATCTGAAGGCTATGTGACTCTGTATTCAAGATCTACTTACCTGTTTCAAGCAATCTAAAGGGGAATCAAGGGGTAAAGGGGGTCGCATTTCACTTGATACTAAAGTTTCCAAGACGGGTAACAGGCCCGAATAGCCATGTCGGGCCTTAATCTTTTTGAATTGAATATAGGAGTGATCCTTGGCACACAAACAGGGGAAGTGCCCGATTCTGATCGGAGGGTGGTCCGGACCTGTAATTGGCATTGAGCTTCCTGTTGGTCAATTAGAAGGCCCGAGGGTTACAAGCCAATCTCACAGTTGGGATCGATTCAGTATACTGACATCTAGAATCCCTGCTGGTGGTCGCAGACTCCCGTCTCACGAGCTTGTTTCACGGATTATAAGAACCACATCCTGTCCCACCATGCAGATCCTCTGTATCTCGTGCTGAGCTTCATCTGTTCGCCAACAGGATATCTTACGGAACCAAGGACCACCATGTCGGACGTCAAGGCCCAGGGCGAGGTGCACGGCATCTCGACGGCCCATGAGGAGACCCCTCGGGTCATTGCCGGCTACGGCGAGACCGCAAAGCGTGAGGGAGCTACAACTAAGGAGGTCCACAGTGTCAGTCTTCCTCAACCTTTTTTGGGCCTCCTTATAATAAGTCAATTAACATTAACATGCTATTCTAGGCCGAACTGTTCGCTGCCCTGGAGGAGACGAAGATCGAGAGATGGAGCAGAGAATCATTCCATCTTTACTGTGAGTTCTATCCACAGAGTTGAGCCGGGCGAACAGTTCCTTCGGCCAAGTGACGAGTTGCTAATTCATGGTTTCCTCTTCTAGTTGCGATCTTTGTTGCGTTTCTGTGCGCTTGTGCCAACGGATATGATGGTGAGTGGTTATAACTAATCCTGCGTCATCTACCGCTAACACGGTAATTACAGGCTCGCTGATGTCCTCAATCCTGGCTATGAAACACTTCCAGAAAACCATACCCATTGGCATGGATGGTGAGAAGGTTTCCGTTGTTACTTCCATCTACACTGTGTATGTATCCTTGTGACCAATTCCGAACAAGGCGCTCGCTGACAATGATGGTTCTAGTGGAAATATGGTCGCAACTCCGTTCAGTGCTGTGATTTCCGATAGGCTTGGTCGTCGAAAGTGCATGTTTGTTGGAGCCTGGATTATTATCATCGGCTCTATTATTGCTGCTACAACCACGACCTATGCGCAATTCGTCGTCGGCCGCTTCGTGCTTGGAATGGGAATTCAGGTCATGGTCGTCTCGGCTCCTGCCTACGCGGTTGAGATCGCTCCCCCTCACTGGCGTGGTCGTGCTGTTGGTGAGTTTACATTTGCACCTGCTGTGATAATTTGCTTATACAACTCTCAGGTTTCTACAACTGTGGTTGGTTCGGAGGCTCTATCCCCGCGGCTGCTATCACCTATGGAACCAACTTCATCGACAACAACTATTCATGGAAGGTCCCACTTATCGGCCAGTGCTTTGCGTCTATTATTGTTATTATCTCTATCTGGTTCATCCCCGAGTCTCCGCGTTGGCAGCTCGCTCACGGCTATGAGGAGGAAGCTCTTGCTTTCCTGACCAAATATCACGGCAATGGTGACCCCAATGCTCGTCTCGTCCGACTGGAGATCGAAGAAATGCGCGAAGGTATCCGTGTTGATGGTATTGACAAGCGCTGGTGGGATTGTGAGTTAATTTTGTTCCCTTTCGATGCTTACGTCTGACAACCACTACAGACCGTCCTTTCTTTACGTCTCACAGCGGCCGCTGGCGCTTCTTGCAGGTCATCATGATCTCTATCTTTGGACAGTGGTCTGGCAATGGTCTCGGTTACTTCAACTCGACAATCTTCAAAGTTCTCGGTTACACTTCCAGCTCCATGCAGCTACTCTTGACTCTTGTCAACAGTATCATCTCCGCAGTCGGTGCTCTTACGGCTGTCCACTTCACCGACAGAATGCCCCGTCGTACAGTTTTGGTTTTTGGCACCGCTGGTAAGTTACCGTCTTGTCATCCTTAGATCACGGAGTTTTTGGGGTTGTCAACAAGCGCTAACTGAGTCAACAGCTTGTGCCGTCGCTATTGCTATTCAAGCTGCCATTTCCGTTCCAATTGCGCAGACAGGTGGAATTAGTCACTCAAAGGGCCAAGCTGCACTGTCCATGTACTACCTCTTCAACGTGATATATTCCTTCACCTACACTCCACTGCAGGGTGTCATGCCGGCCGAAGCTTTGGAAACGACGACTCGTGCTAAGGGTCTGGCTCTCTCGGGCTTCATGGTCAATGCCACTGGTTTTATCAGTCAATTTGCCACCCCTATTGGTTTGCACAATATCTCGACCAACTACTTCTGGATCTTCGTCGTCTGGGATCTGATCGAGTCCGTCATTTGGTATTTCTTCTGGTAAGTCGCTCCCGATACTCTAATACCGACCATGCAAATGCTGATTCATTCAATAGTGTTGAGTCCCAGGGCCGTACTCTTGAGGAACTTGAGTGGTTGTACCAGCAGCCCAACCCTGTCAAGGCGTCCAAGAGCCTCGAAAAGGTTGTCGTTCAACGCGATGGAACGGTCACTGAGAAGATCGAGGACGATGCCTGATTGCACTTGTGCGTCACGATCGTATCGGGGTCGGCATGTCAAGGAAGTTAGGTCCTGAAGGGCGGATGTGGAGTGTCGGAGTAGGGCAGCTTGTGCTTTTAATCTTCGTTGCGATGCATGACTACTTGCTTCTTGTCTGCGGCTGGAAGCAGGTCTAGGATATTCATGCCTCTGTTTAATTGAAAATTTACAAAATGTTTTGGTTGCAGTAATGGCAGCGAAAATATTGATCTTGCTTACAGGAAACAAATCTTGAAAAGTAGTAGTGACACCTGACCAAATCTGTACTCTAGTCGGGTGTTTATTGCTCTTGCAAAACATTCACTCATGTCTTGAGAGAATAACAATGGAGTCAAATTATTGTCACGCGATCTGTCATGCCAAAGATTGCATATGAATTTAATAGGGTGAGTAATTTGGATTGGCTGCAAACTGATTAGCAAATATCAACATTAGTATTAACCAGCGACGGAACATCCAGGTGAGACGAGACTTGATCAACGCGTCCCAAAGAAAGAATTCCGGTCGAGCCCAGGTGACGGCATCAGCGGTTGGACTCCCTTTTTTCATTGACGGGTTAAAGGTTGATAAAGAAGCAATCAAGGCGGGGTTGAAAAATCGACTTGACGTAAGTTGGCACATCTTCCGAGGCTAGTTATCCCGACGCGGCTTATGATCCAATGAGCATGCGATGAGCTCTATCAGACTAGTTATCAGCTCTCCGTTGCGGGCACCTCTGATTCGAGAGGTTCGAGATGTAGGCCGCGCTATACCTGTGCGATGGTGGGGTATGTCATGCTTCACCTATGCTGTGTTGTCAACGACCCCTTGAGCGGTGCTTGGCACTCTTGGCACTTCTTTCCAAATGCTCTTGGTAGATCAGCGGGAATCATGCGGAATATATCACACAATAGGTATTCAAGGTGCTGTTCCATGGCGCAGGTGTAGGGATTCTCCTCCAAGCGGAGTATGGCTGCTCCTGTTCATGTGGCAAAGGCTATGGTATAAATATGCTTGTCCCTTCTACCCTCCAGGCCTTTCTAGTACTCAAATTCCACAAATATCTGTCCCGTCTATATTTGTGTGAACTACTTTCTCATCGGTAGGTTATCTGTTTCCTCTCAAATCGTCGCTTTACTAATAGGGTGGTAGGGCAACAGTCTTCTGTGAAACGCGATGCTTTGGGGCTGGAATAAGTTACTCCTGGTTGCTCTAGCTGGCACGAACCAAGCATTGCCCTATTATGCAAATACCGGGAACTATAGTGTGGGGACTTGCTTCCATAACAACGGGACGGGAACTTGGCAGCCAGATAAGAGCGTGTGTGAGGCTTCTTTTGGACAATGGTGCACCGGTAGCAAGGGAGCACACTGCATTGTTATCAATGGAGAGTTGGTGAAGTTTGTGAATCTCTGTCGTGTCGGTCCCAGTACCAAGCTTAGCATAGATATGATTAATGTTTCACGTAGGAAAGCCCAGCAAACATATTGCGTGAATTAGCTACTCTGAGATCTACCAGAACCTAGGCAGGGTTTGGTCTGCATCATTCAGGTGAATTTTCTTCTCATATACTTCACCTCGTTGCTATCTAGAGTTTCGTCTGTAATTAGATATCTAATAGGGAAATTATGAGAGCTTCAGTATCCTTGTCAAAAGATGGAAAGGTATTTGTGACGATCAAGTTTAGGAGCGCTAACTATTCATTATTACTCGCTTATGTTAATCTGGCAGTAAGGACTTCGGGTTTATTAATGACAAATAGGATAACTAGTCTGTGCCATCTGGACTCCCTGTAGACGGAGTCGTCGATCGTCCATAGTTGGAACTTGATTGTTGTCTCGGAATAATTCGCATCTGATAGCGTTCTACTGCGCCTTTAACTACAGTGTTGGAGTTGTTGGATATGCCCTTTTGCACATTACCTCTGGCCAATGGTTTTTTTGTGAGAGATCTTTACTTAGGTATCTAGTATCTTACCTGGTCCTTGAATCCATGTCAATACTAAATCAAATACAATGGTGAACATCAATCTTTGTGCTAACAGAATTAAGAATGAAAACAAGGTAAAATACAACTCTTTAACACAATCACAAAGAAAACAGATTAGAATACAATCCTTGACGCAGTGTCAAGGCACAAATTATTTTCGATACCCCCTATCAATGCTTTCCGTCTCCATTCACCAGGACCTCGGGCTTGGTCAATCCCCACTCCACTTTCACTTCTGGAGTCAAAATGCCTGACTTTCGGAGAATGAGCTCAGCGAGAGCCGGAACAGAATCACTTGTCAAGATCTCAAGAATCTGCAGATTGGCCTCCAGCTCGCGCGTGATCCAGTTTCTGATCTCGATGGCAACCAGTGAATCCAGCCCATAAACAGAGATGGGTACTGTTGGGTCCAGTTCTTCCGCAGGACGCATGAGGATGCTGGAGATTTTCTGTAATACTGCAGTGGCAATGACTGCAGAGGCGATCTCGCGGGCTCGAGACTGCCGGATTGCAGAGGCGGGTGAGATGTCCGCGCTGCCCTGCGCGGCATCGGCAAGCGTCCCTGCTTCGGCGAGGGTTGACAGACGCAAGAGATGGGATAACTTGGTGTCGTTCACCCAGAATGGCTGCTCAGTCGCTGGGGTAGTCTTGACACCGTCAAATCCCACCACGCAGTGACCGTCGCATGTCTCCTGCATTTCCTTTCGAATTGCGGCAGCAACAAGGCCGCGAATATCGTTTGCATCGACAGATTCGGTGCCGAGTTGCGCAGCTATTTGCTCGCGCTTTTCGTCGTCTGCCAGATATCCCACCCCACGAACGATGGGAAGGTCAATCGTTGTACACGGCATCTTCGCTGTGTCGGGATATTGGGCGAGTGCCGCCATAAATGTTCCACTGGCGCTGTACGCAGACTGGCCCAGGTTGCCAACAAAACTGGCGGCGGAGGAAAGTGTCACAAAGAAATCAATGTTTTCAATGTTTTTGGTGTTCTGCAAGGCACGTTGTAAGTTCCAGATTCCGTGGACTCTGGGGCGCACAACGGTTTCATAGTCTTCGAAGCTCATTTTTTCAAACAGAGTATCCTGAGAAACATTAGTTTGCAAGCCAAGTATGATAAGAATGCCAAAAACTGTACCCGAAGAACCATAGCGCCGTAGATGACACCACCAACAGGAGGTGACCGGCTGAGCAACGGAGCCAACTTCTGGTCCACGCTCTGCTGGTTGGCAATATCACATCGGCAAACATCCACTGTGACTCCAGCGTGAGTGAGGTCTTCGACAGCCTTCTTAGCCATTTCTGTCGATGCTCCACTCCGGGAAACAAGTACAAGATGCCTTGCTCCCTTTTGCGGTAACCAGCTGGCAAGATCGAGGCCGATACCCCCGGTGCCACCCACAACAACGTACGAAGCATCTGGCCGTAGTAGAGCTTCTTCCTTGCGGGGCGGATACACCTATATTTTTATGGTTAGTTCAATTTATTAGGTTGTTTATTTGCGAGAGCAGCTTTCTCACCTTGACCATGGCATCATCCGTCATTTGAACAACCATCTTGCCTATAACCTGCCCGCCCTGCAACGCCCGGAACCCATTCTCGACGTCAGAGACAGGAATCTTGGAAATGGGCCAGTGAGACTGGGCCCCAGAGTCAATGAAAATCTGGAAAGAATCACGTAGCAATCGCTTCAGCAGCTGCGGCCGCTTTTCCCGCACCATGTTCAGATCAACAGAAGCAAATGACAGATTTTTATTGAAATGGCCCATTTCCAGTCGTGAGTTCTGAGTGATATCGCGCTTGCCCAGCTCAATGAATCGACCGAACGGAGCAACACACTCGAAAGTTGCCTGCAGAGCATCGCCGCTCAAGGAATTGAGGGCAACATCCACGCCCTGTCCACCGGTGGCGCGGTGGATTCCCTGAGCGAAGGATGTGTCGCGACTGAAGAATATCTGATCTTCTTTGAGCTGGTAGATATCCATCAAAAACTTCTTCTTCTCTTCGCTTCCAACGGTAACGAAGATCTTGGCACCGATGCGCTGGGCAATAATGATAGCTGCCTGCCCAACACCTCCTGCGGCAGCATGGATGAGGATGCTCTCACCTTGCTCCAGGTGGCCAAGGTCAACCAGAGAGTAGTATGCGGTGCAGAAAACAGCTGGAATTGATGCTGCTACCTCCCATGGCATGTTCTCTGGCATTGACCATGCCGTTGATGCTGGACAGCGCGTGTAGGTAGACAGTGATCCAGGCGACATTGCGCATACCCGATCTCCGGTCTTGAAATCAGTCACGGCGGCTCCGACACGGGTTACAATACCGCTGCACTCTTGGCCAAGCCTGTCTCCTTGAAGCTGACCCATGGCCATCAAGACATCTCGGAAATTGAGGGCGGTGCATTGCACTTGAATCTCGATGTGGTCAGCCGGTAGCGGGCTGGTGTATACAATGTCATCGGTGAAATATAACTCATCCAGAACACGACCTTCGCCTGCGCTCAGTCGCAGCGCTCTGTTTTGCTTGAACAGCTGCAATTGCGGTGGTGTGTCCTGCGTCTCTTGTTGAACGCTCAAATTGAGAGCCGGGTTGTCGACAAGACGAGGAACACAGACATTTCCATTGCGAACAACAAATTCCATGTCCCCCTGCACGAGCTGTGACTTGCGGCAAAACGTGCTGTTGAATACATTGAGCATGTGTTCCACAGCCTCTGCATCAGACATGCGCTCCCGCTCGCCCAAGTCCAGTGTCACGAATGGCAGACCAGTCTCCGACCTGATTGTCCGAGCAAGGCCAATGATCATGTTTGAACCGAGAGACCGTGGGTTGATTTTGTTGTGTCTGGCGGCCCACATCAATCCTCTGGCTCGGCCGGCCAAGCGTTGAATGGCTTGGAACTTGTCTCGAGTGAGATGCGCCAGGGTTGACCGATCCATTCCTCCAAGGAAAATACACCATTTTCCTGCGACATCAGCGGTGGCCACGTCGTCGATAGTCATTGGTACAGAACCAGTGATTTTCTTTAAACCAGCTTCCAGAGCTAGAGCAGACACGCTTCCGATAGAATCCATTCCAACAACAATTACATCTCCAGGATTTGTCGGTCCAGTTCTTGAGCCATTGGCGGTAGACATCATCAGGCATCCGGACTGGTGGGAAGCTCCCGGGTATTCTTCAAGGCAGAGGTCAACTCCAGAGAAATTGTTTGCCTTCATCACGTTGCTCCAACCCTCAACGTTAAGAAGCGGCCCGTCCTTGCGAATCTCATCACTGGCAAGCCACCAGCCAGGCAGAAGTGCAAACGGGAAATGCCTTGCTTTTGAAACAGTCTCTTCAATGAGCATCAGCTTGCCACCGGGTCGTAACAGAGAGCGGATATTTGCCATAGTTTGGTTGATTTCGGGAGTGGCGTGCAAGACGTTACACGCAATTACCATATCATATGAGCCCAGGTTAAAGCCCTGGCTAGTCGGATCCGCAGAGATATCTAGAGTCTGGTATGTCATGAGATGGTTCCAATTCTCGAACTTCGTTTTTGCTTTTTCGAAGAATCCTGGAGAGATGTCGGTGTAGGTGTAGTGACCAAACCGAGGCGTAGAACCTACTTCACCTCCGCCGAGGCTTTGCAAGATTGGCAAGGTAGCGCCTCCGGTTCCAGCACCAATCTCGATGATATTAAGCTCGGGGTTCTGGTGGGCCATTTTGTCAATGCAGACTGATGCATTCGCATAGGCTTCACGGAGGCTGTCGAGGTCCTGGTAGTGCTTGCTGAGCCGGTCATCCTCCAACATGACGTTAAGCGGGTCGATCTGGCCGCGAAGAACTTGGGGAAGAAGCTCGCCGACTCTGCATGTCAGATCGCCCGCTCCATTTGCTGTCCTCAACTCGTTGATCGTCTGGTCCGAGAGGTCATCTGCTGGTCCAGCCGCTTGGCAAGTCTTCTGGGCCCAACGATAGAATTTCTGATGGTAGCTTGGGAAGGTCCCAAACTCCTCCTCTGGCACCGATCGCAACACCTGCCGAAGGTAGTGCTCAGCAACACGGTCTAGTTGGCTCATTCTTTGTCCTCCAGTAACAGCATCCGTATCAGGGCGGGGGAGTTTTTGGTAGTCGCCTTCAGAAAGGAACTCGAAGCAGGGCTCCCAGCGAAGTTTGTAGCACATTGGATCAGGCGTATTGTCCCTGGAGCCTTTGATATCGTTGGACATGGGCACAAGTGTCATTCCGTTGATGTCAATGACAACGTCTGTGGAACTGTGGGGATCAGTCGCGATGATGCGGTTGCTTTCGGTGTTGGTTGCAGCATCAATCCCGGATCGCTGGCCATAGAGTTGGAATTGAGTGCCAGTGCGTATTTCATGGGTTAATGAAACCGAAACATTTTTGAGATGTGACGGGACAAAGGTGGTCTTCGGACCGTCTGGCTGGCCATATCCCCGGAGAACCCACATCAGTTGGCAAATTCGATCAAGGGTTACTGGATGAACAATGCAATCGCTTTCATATTCGAATGGCATGCAGGCTTTGGTGTCCGGAACAACCACTGTGGCCATGGCTTGCTGGTTTGTGCTGGCAGTAATGTTCGACAATCCATGGAAGATTGGGCCATATTCGACACCGCACTGTGTGATGTTGTCATATAGAGTTTGCCTGTCCACCGGCACATTGCATGAGTCGTGCAATTCTAATGCCTTCTGAGAGAGTTCTGCGTCCACCGCTGCCTGTTGCCGAGATCCATCCACAGGGTTTGCGTCCTTGACTTCTTGAACCATTACAAAGCCATTGCAGTGTTGATCCCAGCCTCGGCCTTCAGCCCAAGAAAATACCTTGAACTCATGCCAGCCACGAACTGACTTGCCCGGCTCGGTTCGGCATGAGCGCAGGCTGATCATAGTTTCCACCGATGAATTGTCTGGGATTGCAAGGACACGGCTAATGGAGATATCACGAAGATGGATTTTGCCTGGTGTGATGTGATGCAGTTGTGCCTGCTGTGAGATTGCCTCCATAGCCATGGCGAGGAATCCAGTCATGGGATAGACATTGCTGTCATGGACTCGATGCTGACGAACCCAGGGATGGTCGTCGGCGCGAATGATGTTTCTCCAGCGAGGCTCAAAGTCCATATTCTCCATGCAAAGACTGCCGATGAGATCATTGCGCGGAAACTGACGATGAAACAGGTTTTGGCCCAAGCGCGAGCAAAACCAGTACCTTTCAGTGTGGTTCCAGGGGTATTTTGGGAGTTTGGTGAGGAGGTTGGGTTTTCTTTGACTTCGCCCGAGATCTGGGAAGTTGATAGCTTCAAAGTTGAGAGTCATCCCCTGGACAAATAGAGAGGCAGCCAGATTCTGGACGGCTTCAATTGCATCGACCTTGCGTTTCAAAGTGTGTGAATACTGTACATTCCGGGTAGGCGCGTGTAGTCGGATAATATCTTTGACTGGCGTTTGAAGTGCAGGATGAGGGCCGATCTCTACCAAACTGGTGATTTGGGTAGGGGCCTGTGTGTCTGCCAGCAGACTCTGCAAGCCCTTAACGAACTCGACGCGAGAGACCAGGTTATCGACCCAGTACGAGGCATCTAAGGAAGTTCCCGCAACCAGGCCGCCGCGGACCGTTGAATGGAAGGGAATGTCGGACGCTCGAGGTGCGATTTTTCGAAGCAATGACTTGTACTGCTGGGCAACTTGCTGCATGTGATGAGAGTGGTAGGCGACGTCAACTTGGAGTCGGCGGGTGAATATGCCCTCTTTGTCCAAGGCGGCTTGGAGCTCCACGATGACATCTCGGTCACCAGACAATGTAACACTCGACTCGCTGTTCACGCAGGCAACGACAGCTCGTTGGCCTCGCATGGCATCCAGAATTTGTTGGACTTCCCCGGCATTGGCGCCCACTGCCAGCATGGCTCCCTGAACTGTTTTGTCGTTTGCGAGAAGGTTGGCTGCGACTCCTCGGGAATATGCAATGCGGATGCATTCTTCCAATCCCAAGATTCCCGCTGCATAGGCCGCTGCAATTTCTCCGCTCGAATGCCCCACGACTGCCTTGGGGCGGACACCCCAAGACGCAAGAAGGTCAACCAGTGCCAGCTGGACCGCCGTACAAGCCGGCTGGCTCATGTAGGCCGCAGATAGTGAGCTTTTGTTCGAATCTTCTAGCAGTAACTCCTCTGGGAAAGATGTTCAGTACGTGCAAATCAAAGCGGAGTAAAGTGGTTATACCTGTAATGGAGAAATTTGCCCCCAGAGTCTTCAAACAAGTATCCACAGCCCGCAATGTCCTCTGAAAAATAGGATATGTACCCAGGAGCTCTTTACCCATGCCGTGCCACTGTGCTCCCTGTCCAGTGAATACAAAACCAATATTTGGCTCGCGAGAAGAACGAATCGGCTCTGGGTCTTTGGACAGATATTCATTCAACACCATATATGAGGATGCAGATATGGCCACCCTCCACGGGAGAAAGCTCCGCCGCTGGCCGAGGGTATAAGCAATGTTGTCCATCAAGCCGTCCGTGAGCGCCGGCGGGTTGAGGTCCAGATATGTTGCCAATTCTTTTGAAATTTGCAAGGCTGCCCGTTTATCGTGAGCTGACACAATGTACAGTTTGCGCTTTAGAGGGTCTGTGTTCTGCATTCCTTCGCCGTCATGCCGAGGACCGCGCTCGAGGACGACGTGGGCATTGGTTCCACCGAACCCAAAATTGTTCACGCTAGCATAGGTTTTACCCCGTGGCCAGGGATGCAATTTCTTTGGAATCTGTTGGTTAAGAAACTGTCAGCATATTCGCTTGCAGAACATTCTCTCCGCGGTCATCTCACCTTCATATTCCACTTGTCCAGGGGAATCTCCTCATTCGCCTTCTCGAAGTTGCAATTGGGTAGAATAAAGCCCCGTTCGAGCATCAGGGTAGTCTTGATCACCGAGACAATACCGCTAGCCCCTTCCAGATGGCCAATATTGGACTTGACCGAGCCGAGAAATAGCGGTTGCCGCGGTGTGCGTCCCTCTCCAAAGACTGCCTGCAACGCCCTAGCTTCCAGTGGATCTCCAACTTTAGTCCCCGTTCCGTGGGCTTCGACAAATCCTGTTTGGGACGGACTTATACCAGCGGACTTGTAGACCTGGCGCATCAGGGCTTCCTGGGCGGCGCTATTGGGCATTGAAATGCCTCTAGTCCGTCCATCTTGATTGATACCGCTGTTGACGACCACTGATCGGATGATATCGCCAGCTATGCGTGCGTCCTCCACGGATTTCAAAATGACAACCCCCGCACCTTCGCCGCGGCCAAATCCACTTGCTCTGTGGTCAAATGCATATGACTTGCCGGATTCCGAAAGAAGTCTTTATAAGAAATTAGTGACTGAAAATGGGCATCATTGATATCGCATGTTCTTACCGAGCCCGACTCATAGAAACAAATGCTTCCGGGAATATGTTCAAATGACAACCTCCCACAATGGCCATGGAGCATTCACCGTTGCGAATACTTTGGCATGCCAGATGCAAGGCAGCCAAACTGGAAGAACACGCCGTGTCGACCGTGACGCTCGGCCCAGTCAGGTCGAAATAATAGGAAATGCGATTTGCCTGCAGTGACAAAGCAGTGCCGGTGGCCGAGTACATAGGCACGGATTCCATATCCTTCATGTTGTTCGATTCGTAGTCCACAAATGACCCTCCTGTGAACACACCGACGTTTCGGCCGGCGATAGAGTGATTTGGAACACCTGCATTTTCCAAAGCTTCGTATACACATTCGAGCAGGATGCGCTGCTGTGGGTCGAGAGAACGCGCCTCTTGGAGTGTGATTTTAAAGAAAGGCGCATCAAACAAGCCAATATCCTCGTCTAGAAAGTGCGCGCCTTTGGCATTGATAGAGCCCGATCGATCAGGGTTAGGGTGAGAGAAAGCTTCGGCGTTGAATCGGCTCTTAGGAATCGGAGACCATGCACTCCGGGCTCGCGAGCACAGGTCCCAAAAGTCATCGAGTGTAGACACCTGTCCCGGAAGGCGGCAGGCCATGCCGATAATGGCCATGCGCTTAGGTGCATCCACGGGCATCTCCTCCTCGTGCACCCCATTGGTGACTGGTGTCCCAGCCCCATCGGGCGGTTGAAGGCGCATGTTTTGGGAGAAAGGGCGTTTCGGGATGTTTGTTCCAAGATATCAGGTGAGGTAGTTACTTGGAACGAACATGGCCCAGCAAAGTCGGAAGGTCTCGATAAGAGCAGGGCCGCGGTTTACTGGGGAGAATCGGATATATAGTCGCCACGTATCGGAATCGACCATCGGGCCGGTCAGCAGGTCGGCAGAAAAAACATATTCTTGATCGAGTTATGGGGGTTGATGTCGTCCCTTGCATGACGACGCCAGTTTGTAACTGCAGATCGTGCCCTGAGGGGGTCAGCCAATCGGGCAAGGATAGCTGATTTAGAGGCCCATACCATGTTCCTTGATGACGCACACCAATACTGTGAAGTTGAAGACAGGGCGCAGGATGGTTCAGAGACACACCCTCGTTAGTCCGGACCTAGGGCTGTAGATCCGGTTGAGTTCATTGATTTCGCCGCATACCCCGTGTAGCGCCGTCCTTCGGATCATTATTCTTCGCCCCGTGGCCCTTGCTAAAGTGAGGGTGCATTCCAGCGCAGGCGGCTCGGATCTCCCCTGTGTTGAAGAGTCCCTGGCAAGGAATTCCATTATCTTGCCTCAGCTGCTACTCATTCCGCGAGGGCGAGATGGGATATTGTTCTCTGCTTGTTAGGTCCAACCACCGGTATACTTCTCGCCATCATGAGGTTTCTCTGTCTGCCAGGCGCATTTTGCAATGCTAAGGTCCGTTTAAACTTGTCTGCACGTGCAAGTTGAGTTGACGCTAACGGTAATTTAGGCGTTTAACACGCAGCTGGGTAAGCCGGACACGTTCTAAATCAACGGATAGATCTGACCGTCCCTCGTGCATCCAGGGCCATTTTGCGATCGTCTCTTGTCGGCTGGCTCGGCCGACTTCTATTTCACTCAGGGCTGGAGGACTTCTTTGGGCCACCGCCCAATTTCACCTTTGCCGAAGTCGATGACCCCGACCTGATCAATTTCAATATTTTGGACTTCCCCGGACGCGATACCCCGGAAGATACGATGAAGTTCGCCCTGAAACTGGCGGGACAACCCACATTTTCCAGCATACGCAAAGTCATGGAACGGTTAATTGGGATCTCCTGGACACGGAGGATGACATTGCCGGCGTGATCGGCTACTCCGAGGGTGTGAAAATCGCCGCCACGCTCATTCTGGAGGAGGAACGCCGGCGCAAACAGCACGGTCGAGCTCCAAGACTGAAATGCGCCATACTCGTCTGCGGATGGCCGGTCCTAGACCCAGAAACCGGCGCAACAATCCTGGCGGCGGATGAAGACAGCGATGACGAGGGCGAGATGATCACCATCCCAACCTGCCATGTTGTGGGTGCGGCAGACCTTTCCTCGATGCGTCCATGGCCCTGTACAATGTCTGCGATCCGGACACCGCCGAGTTGTTTGACCATGGAGGCGGGCATGTCATTCCTCGGGGAAAGCAAACGGTGGACGATCTAGCGGACGTTGTTCGGGAGATGATATTGTCAGTAGACAACTGAGCTAGATGCGTTCCGTTGTAAAATTATGAAACTGGTTCTATACTTTCATTCATGTCAATCAATCAGGAGAGGCAGGTCTAGATCGACCCCCAGCATGCCTCAGCAGCAGCGTGCAGTAAAAATCCCCGAGGTCAGGCACAGCAATGGAGTAAAAATTCCCTAGATAAAAGAAACAACGGATTCTCAACTGGTATCCTTGAAGGGGGAACTCCAGTGGTCGTGTGATAGCAGTATTCAGGTCAATAACGGACTTGTCTCATTATTCTCTTCCTCCGGCTCCCCCGATGCCTGTGCCTGTTCTCGACCCTGGCCGCCCACGAGACTCACTAGCCACGCGTGGAATCCCCAGTCCAGGAAGCCACAGCACGTCCGTTCCAGCCCCTGGCCATCATCCAGCCGCTCATACTGAGCGTCCTTCCAACGAGAGCGCAGCCACTGCACTGTCCAAACCATCAGATACACCAGTCCGGCCAGCGCTACCGAGGATAGCACAGCAACCAAAACAGATAGGACCGTCAAGGTGCTGACGTTGCACCCGAAGGGCACGGCGCGTAGCTCCCATCGTTCCTTGGAGCCGAGCGGACAGATATGCGAGGAGCGGATGGGGCTGAAGATCGGCAGGCGGGCCGGGTTGGGCACGCAGGTCGAAGACTATTATTGATGCGGGTTAACTGATTAGCGATCATCCTGACCCGGCCAGGCGAGGAAGTGGGAGAGAGGTGAAACACCGTTCCGGAATGCAAGGAGAAGAAACAAGCACCACTGCATGTTGTGGGCCAACACAGAAAAGCAGCAATTATTCCATTTAGACGCAGTAAATATAGCCAAGGGAAATAAAAAATATGATATATGTCAGAAAGAAGAAAGAAATCGTCGGCATACAATGGGACACCAGCTGCACGCGACATCGCCTGCCAGGCACGAGGAGCACGACTGGCGCCGCCAACAGACGTGGAAGAGCGGATCGCTGGTGTCGAAGGGGCTGCTCTGGCCCATCTCCGATAGCTAGTTAGATAGATAGATAAATGTAAGGCGCTCGAGGTGATACCACCGGGTGTCTTAGGGTGATGGTCCTTACATGGGAGGAAGAAGAACAGAAGTTGTTGCTGGGGTAAGACTGCGGGGCGGGATGTCTTTCTTCTTCCATGACGACGACAAACAATCCCCGTCGCGACCATGTAACTACAAGAAGCACAGAGTAGGTAGTACAGAATCTATTAGTGGCTATGGATGGATGTATAACAACATGTCCGATTTTCGTCTTAGCATCTAGTCCAAGACCCAGAAACCCCCCATTCGCAGGATCATACTTCGTGCAAGCTTGCCTAGGGAGGGCAGCATCAGACGACACGCTTGACCTATATTCCCCAAATCATATCATTAGCACAGGCTTTTGGGGTCCTCGGCTGCAGCTCAGCTCAACTCACCTCGAAGAACCGCTTCAGCCACCAGACCTGGAAAATGCCCTCGCCAATCACCACCACGAGCTGGAAGAGACTCCACCACTTTACACGGCCGTTGGTGCTCTCGGCGGTATTCCGGTGCACGCGCTCCCGGACAACAATGTACGACTGCTCATCACGCACCTGCGCCAGGTTCTCGGAAAGACGGCGGACTAGCCCCAGTGCCATTAGTATTCCGTTATGTGTGATGTCCTGTACCGGATTCCCTTCTCTCACCTTCGATCTCCAGGGGATCCTGGTTCATTTCCGACTCCGGCACGTAGACAATGCCGTGGACGTTGAACGAGACCTCCTTCGAGTTGGAGGTCCAGCCCTCATTGCTGAAGCAGTAGGAGTATCGGCCGTCGGTGCGCGCGGTGAAAGAGTAGTCCTCCGATGAGATGGCTTGCTTGTAGTACTGGCGTCTTTGCGCGGGGTCCTCGACCTGGAATTGAAAAGGGGTCAGCAGTCCGTTTTCCCTTGATGGTCGCCATCAACACCAGGACAATTCACGACATACCCAGAAATCAATGTCCAGATTTCCACTGCCTCCAAACTCTCGATCGCCCACCTGGAAGGTGACGGTCATCAAATCGTCCTTGTGCAGGTCCTCGTGGAAGCATTCTCGCGAGTGAGACTTGAGCTGGATGGTGTGTGCGGTCGTGGCGGTGATCCACCCCAGCGCGGTGACCAGAAGGGCGGACGTAGAGAATCGCATAGTGAGGTCTGAGAGAATCCCGCTCCGTAGTACCTGGAGTAGAGTATTAAATGGGGGTAGGGAGGAGGTTGAAGCGGATAGTTAGGGAGTGTTGACGGGATCAACGCGCAAGGTGGCCGGAGACGCTCGGACCACCCGGAAACAGTCAGTGAAGAACGCAAGTATGTACATACGTAGCCGGGGAGAATATTGCTATGATTTGTGAACGAGTAGGACAATAAATAAAAACTCGCCAATTAAAGGGAATTGAATGCTCCAATCGACTGCATATAAGATAAATATCTGTTTGGCCAAAAATATATATTTGTGACCTGCTCCTCTGACATTGGATATATACCAGAGACATGCTCATCCGATATTCAATGAACGACCAAAAGCTGGGTAGTATCTCTACTAAAGACCAAGGCGGAGCATATCAAAACCCATCAGAATACGGATATATTGAATGTGAATTCCCAAAATCTTATACGGTGTATACTATAGACACAACAAGACTAGACACAGACACTGAACAGAGATGAGAGTAAGAAATAGTAAATATCTAACAGGTCGAAAGAGCGGCAGGAAGGCTATTAGGTATGTGAGAGAGGGGTGAGACTCATAGGTTGCAAGATCCAATGTACATGTGTGGGTAAATAATAATCAGGAAAAAGCGGAAGGTGGTATCAAATCCGAGAGAAAAGAAAAGAAAGGACGAAAAATCACAGGCGGAGGCCTTAGAAAAAGGGAGAAGTATGTATGGGAACAGAAAATGAAGGAAAGAACGAGAGAGAGTGTGTGTATGTGTGAGAGTGCGCTGATGAAAATGATACACAAGGCAAAAGGGATTCCGTCTTCCAGTGCATTCTGCGACGAAATGACCCGAAAAATATCACAAGGCAAAAAAGAAAAAAGAGAGTCAGTCTAGGAAACGATAGGATAGGCAAAATCATTCTTCGGAGTTTTCAGCAGCGTCTTCTTCACCAGGGCTCTCGGCAGGGCTTTCAACGGGACTTTCCACAGGGCTTTCCGGAGCAGGTTCAGTAGAGATTCTTGGCCCGAATGGACCATCATCTTCGTTCTGGCTGGGACTGGTCGCCGACACCAAGCCGCCGACGGTGCTCTCGATATCATCGGGCAGGAAATTGTCTTCCTCGTAGTTCCCCGGCTCGGCATCGTGATCGTAGCTCGAGCGGCGGAGAAGCGGAGGCGTCTGGGGCGGGTCGGCCACGGCGGTTTCAGTCAGGACGGAGCCACGGCGAGGCGTGGAGTTGAATCCTCTCAAGGGCCGGGTCTCCCTGTAGGATGATGTGCGTGCCGGAGCAGCTGTGTGCGGAGGAGCGTTTTGGCGGACGTGCGATCCAGGTGGTGTGAGGAGACCGGATAGGAAGCCACCGGCGGCGTTGTTGGACTTGGATGGCGTTTGGTCTGAGGGGTTCAGGCCTGAGTTGGAATTATCCCGGGCCTTGCGCCAGTTGCCCCATGCTGCGGCTGCAGCGAGAGGGAGAGAACGGGGCGAGGCGGCAAGGTCAGAAATGGAGGGAAGCGAGAGATTGTTGCCTGACATTGCTCGCTCTCTCTCCTGCTGCTGCATTTGCAGATTGGCCTTGAGACGGATAGCGGCGTCGCGGACGGCATGTTTGTTGAAGTTGGGCTGAGAGAGGGTCCGGATGATGTCCTGCAGATCATCGATGCGGACACCGAGAACCTCGCGCAACCAGGTAATTTCAGTATCGCGTTCTTTGATCTTGTTGGGAGCATCCTTGTCAACAGTTGAAGCTTCCTGCTCGAGCTCCTCAATGCGAGTCTCACGCTGCTGGAGCTGGTCTTGGAGCACCATGATTGATTCACGGAGAGCCTGGGGAGAAATCTTCTCAGGCTCCAAAGTGCCCTTGCTGAAGGACATTGACGGCGAGGCCGCGTGGGCAGGTGCCGGCGCCGCGACAGCCTCAGTGCTGGGAGCCTTGCCGCTACGAGCAGCCTCGGCGGCGGCACGGGCAGCAGACTGAGCGATCTCGAGCTTCTCTTCAAGATGCTGCACCCGCTCCTGCAAGTGCTTGACCTTGTCATCGGACAGGGCCAGACGGTCCATCAGATGGCTCTCACCCCGCTGGCGATCTTCGGAGCCGTTGTGCAGGGCACGACCATGGCGTTCACGGAGATCATTGAGGACTCGCTCGTGCATCCTGCGCTGATCATCAAGAGCAGTCTCCTTGGATTCGGTGGCGGTCTCAAGCTGGGATTGGAGACGGAGGATTTGCGCCTCCAGCTCGGCCCGGACGAGCTCGGCCTGGCTGTTGGCAGCGTCCGCTTCGGCCTCCACCTGGGCCTTGGTGCGCTGGATATCCAGACGGTGGGTCTCCTGAGAGTCGTTAAGCTCACGCTCAAAGCGAGCAGCCTTGAGATGCATCTCATGGTTCTCGTTCCGCAGGTTGGTGACCAGCTCGTTCAGTTTTTCATTCTCCTCGTGTGACTGTTCGAGCATGAACTTGACCTTGTTGGATTCCCGCTCCTGGAGCTCGAGGTCATTAACATCTTGCTCCAGTTTCTCACGCAGCTTGACTTCGCGAGTATACGAGGCGTACAGCTCATTGTATCTGGCAGTCTGCTCTTCCTCTTTTCGGCGCGATGTAGCTTGCTCACGGCCGATGTCGTGAGTAGCGTTGACCATGTCTTGTTGGAGGCGGTCGAACTTCTCAGTGAGGTTCTGCCGGACAGCCATGTTATCCTCGATGCGAACCCTCAGATGATCGATTGTTTCGTGGAGAGTCTTGTTCTCATCCAAGGTCGTGCTCAGCTGCTTGCGATAATTATCGCTGGAGACACGGTACTCATCCAGGTCACCTTGAAGAGCAATGTTCTTCGAGGACAGCTCGGCGATGGTGACTTTCAGAGTCTCAGCCTCTTCGGCGAGGGTATCCGAGCGGAACTGCATCTTCTCGAAGTAGGGAATCTTCTCTTCCTTGAATTGAAGGAAGCGGGTCTCTGCATCTTCCGCGGCAGCGCTGTGACGAGCAGTATCTTCTTCAGCGACCTTCAAGCGCCGCTCAAACTCGACTACCGTCTCTTGCGCCTCCCGGCGTTGCTTATACTCCGCCTCCGCACGCTCATCAGCCATTCTCAGCATGGTCTTGAGGCTTTCAATCTGGAGCATGAGGCTGTCGGCACCGATCTCCTCGGCATCAGTCATACGCGGAGTATTCGCGGCCAGCTGTTTCGCAAGCGTTTCTTCGAGGATCTCGCGCATGTCGCCGACAGGATCCTGAGCAAGCTTCTTGATAGTCAAGGCCTGTAATTCGGCAATGCTCTCCTTGAGCAGCGCGATCTCGCTATGGCTGGAGTGCTGTGGTGAGCGAGTGGGCAGGTCATGGGTGGCCAATGCCTCCAAGACAACATTCTTCAGCATATCCAGCTTGCGGTCCCGCATGTGGTGAGGAGAACGGCCTCTGACAGACGAATGCTCGTGCTCCCCCTCATCGTCTTCGTCGTCGGCATCGCTATCCTCAATTTCAGCCGAAGTACTGCGGAATACCCGGCGGCTGGCGGAGCCGGCAGCAATAGAAGCAACAGACTGCTGGATGACACCCAGCGCACGCTCCATGGGTCCGAGCCGGTCATCAATGGCGGAGCCAACGAGGTCGTTAATGCGGCGGTCGAAGAATCGGTTGCGGTTCATAAACTTCTCATCTTCGCCCGAGGATATCATGTCATCCCAGTCGCTGACATGGTCATTCTCCGTGATCAGCTGACGGACAGGCGATTGAAGACGAGATACGAGGCTCTTCTGGGGCGAGAAGGTAGCAACACTCTGCGCATCGACGTCCGAGCCCAGCTTGGGGATATCCAGCTTGTAGGTTCTCTGGCCACCGCCGGGGCTCGGGCTGGGAGCATCGCCTCTGGCGTCCGCAGAACCGAATCGCTGTTCCTTGGTGGGACCACCCACGGAGTCGGTGATGTGCTGTGGTGGGGGGGGAGTGGTCTGCCGTACAATGCCGACATCTGAGTCGTCACCGTTCAATTGCTCCATAATGGCGTTCAACTCCTCATCATCAGGCGACTCCAGACCGGAGTCTTGGTTGAGGTTCTTAACCTGCCGAGAAGCGGGCTCAGGAGTGCGCGTCGGGTAGTGCGATCCAATCTCACGCTTCAGTTGTTGCGCAGATGGAGAAGGCTCCTCCTCCTTGGGCTGTGGCGGGGGAGTGTCGGATGCGAAGCGGGAGGCCATGAGACCACCCTTCTTCTTCTTTTCAGCCGGTTTCTGATCAATCAGAGGCACTTGGTCATCGCTCGCCTTCTCAGCAAAACTGGATGGCTGGACAGTCTCCGGCACAAATTCAGAAACGGCAGGTTTGAACTCGAAAGGCGCGGCTGTGGCAGACAATGTATTCTTGGAAGAATCCACAGATTCCTTCGCGGCATGATCCACAGCATTGGAGTCAGCGGGAGGCCCATTTTCCTGCTTGACGGCCAGCTCAGACTCAGCCTGATCGGTAACGGTCTCTTCTGGCACCTTCGGTTCTTGGGCTTGCTCAGGTTGAGCCGGGGATGCTGTATTGGATCTGGCAGCCTCAGCGTCATTCTTCGCATCAAACAGTGTCCAAGTAGTAGCCTCGCTGACAGGCGTTCCTTTCCGTTCGATGGACCGGTCCTCCGGCAATGCGTTCTCCTTGCCCTCAGCCAGGGTAGGGAGCGTGCTCGAGGCCTGCGCGTTGCCTGTATCGCCCAAAGGATGGGTTGAGATGCTATACCGGGCTTCGCCTTGGGCATGACCAATGCCGCGACGGGCACGCTTATGGCGATCCGTAGGAACTGGTCGGCCATTGATGTCCTCGCTCTCGACGTTTTCATCGTCCTTTTTCTCCTTCTCAACCTCATCGGGTCGCACAATCGGGATAGCCTTTGATTTCTTGGGTGGCTTGGAGATCTCCGAGAGATCAATGTCACCAAAGATCTTTGTGCGGTTGACCGAAGGGATGTCTGTGCTGGCAGTGGAGTTGAGGCTGGCCGAGGGGTTGAATTCT